TTTAATACTTAAATCTGTATGTTAGTCTTATAAAGAAAAGATATTCTGAAATTATTTCTTTTCTCGCCACCTTGGACTTCAGGTTAAGTTTTAATTATCGTTTTCTTGAAGTTTTTATTTTAATTCTATTTTATTTTTAATAAACTTATTATCATTTGACAGGGTTCCTGCGGTCCTTAAAAGTCCTTAAAAACTGCTTAACTTTTATTTTGGAAAATAAGGGCCCTTAAAAGTACTTAATTTTGGTAGAAGGTTTTTAAAGGTGCTTAATTTTTCCGCATGACTATAGTTGATTAGAACAATTTTTCAGTACCATGTTTTAAACCATATAGTCGTTCTTTTATCACCTAGAATTAGACCATGCACCGAGAGTAAAGCATTTTAGAGAGACAAGAAGGGATGTGTGTGAGAGAGCTGCAGGCAAGAAGAAAGCATGTCCTTTTATTAATGCATTGGTTCTTTCATTAATTTATACTGCCTTTTGCCTAGAATGATACTCTATGAGAACAGTGACATTCTAAAAGAAAAGAATAAATTGCGGACAAGGGGAATACTGCACATGGAAGAGATAGTGCTTTTTGGGGGGGGGAAGAGTTCTAAGGTACTGAAGTGGAAAACCCACACTGACCTTCAAAATTGACTGAATTCAAAAAATTCAGTTTTACTGGTAATGCATTTGCTCATAGGAGCAAAGTAAAACCCTAAGAATCAAAATATCAGAAAAAATTTTGAACTTGTATCCATAACGAAAACTATTTCAAAAATTCTTTTAAGAATTAAATAAATTTTCATAATATTTCAGTGTGTAATAAATAAGTAACTGTAAATTAATAAGAAGCAGTAAAAATTTTTAAAATTCATGATTGTACTGGAAATTAAACAGATCTGTAATAAACAGGGTTTGAAAAATCCCATCCCACCTATATTTTACATCAAAAACCTGAGATTTCTTGGGGTTTTGGTGAAAACCAAGTTTTTTCACAAATATTTTACATTTTTATTCCTGAATACTAAATAAGAGTGCATGATTTGCTCCTAACAAGATAGTTAAATGTTTGGTAACTATTTATAACTTGTGCTGCAATGTAAATTTTTTTTAAAGTTTTAGATTGTTACGTTAGTGTCTTAATTTCTTAAGGATAAGCAGATTGTTACATAAAAATGTAAATCTATTCAATTAAAAGATTGTCGATAATTAAAGACTTTTTGATATTAATGTCGATTAGAATAAAATTCAAACTTAGATTTTAATAATCATTTTTCTCAGTTAACATTGTAACTTAATATGCTGTTTTTTAAATTTCTATTTAATTTTTGGTTGCTTTAAAATTAGTATATATTTTTCGTCAGATTGTTTAGTATTCCTAATATTATGTAAAGTTAATTCCTAATATCAGTTTTGGCTGGAAATAATTGTAAAGCTCATCATAAAAGTAAATATAACACATTTGCTGTTGATTTTGAAATGGTTACATACTGTTTTCAATATGTTTTTTATAAAGTTTTGAATACATTTTTTTAAAACTATTAATTCGCGATAAAAATAAAATATCAAATTATTCTAATAGTAGAGAATAATATTAAGAATGATAGTGGATGATAAAGAAATATTACAAGTAAATATCTATAAATGATAATGAAAAAAAATAATTTATCAATATTTGTTAATTAAGTAAGCTTACCAATTTTCTATCGATTAATATAGGAATGTGTTGATACCTTTGGAAAATCATTTTAGACCCATTCATTTATATGTTTCCCCCGAGAACTAATAAAAAAACATACATATTTGAAAATTATAAATTTTAAAAATAATTTTATTTTTTTTGTATAAAAATTTTCTTAAAAATATTTATAGCAATGAATTTAAAAAGATATATATATTAAGTTAAATCTAATTGAAAAAAAGTGGAATGATTTCAGGTGATTAGATATTAGTATGACCCGTTTTTACTTGAAATAGGACTTCTCTTATGCATAACTCTAATTCAACCTCTTAGTATTCATTTTTTTAATATATACCCCTTTTAAATGAAAAATTTTGTTAATAGAAATTTTTTTTTTTGGCATAAGGGAATATTTATCATAGATAGGATATTTCATAGATGTCGTTAATCCTTAACAATCTGAAAATGTTTTAAAAAAACCTGTCCCAGGTTTTCAAAAATAATAAGCACTGTCACTTTTGGTATATATTTATTCGATGATAAATACTTATACTATTTTTAAGGTCCTTAATTTTTCAAAAAAAGTCCTTAAAAGTGCTTAATTTTTGCTTTGTTAAAAGAGTGGGAACCCTGTTTGACAACATTATTTCTTTGAAAATAGGCGTCGTTTTATTAGACTTGGGAAAAGTTAGTTGATATTTAAAATCTGGACACAGCTCGAAATCCGTGTTTGCGAATATGGACACTGCTTAAAATGTGCGTTTAAAAAAACTGACACTGCTCGATATGCGTATTTGCGGAAAGGACCGTAGCTCAAAATGATTGCTGACGAAAATGAACACAGCTCGAAATGCGTATTTACGAGAATGGACACAACTCAAAATTCGTGTGTAGGGAAATAGACACAACTCTAAATGCGTGTTTAGGAAGATCGACACAACTCGAAATGTTTGTTTAAAGCAGAGGTCGCCAAAGTGGTCTATATAGACCCCCAGGGGTCTATTTAACATAAGCGGGGGTCGATCTTAGCCAGGGGGTCGAATGGGGGTCGAACCGNCGACACAACTCGAAATGTTTGTTTAAAGAAATGAATACAGCTCAAAATGCGTGTTTACGAAATGGACACAGCTAAAAATACGTGTTTACAAAATTGAACACAGCTCAAAATACGTGTTTAAGAAAATGGAAGCAGCAAAAAATTTGCCTTTTTAAATGTTCAATCCAAATTTAACAACTAAACGAGAAATTTCGTGCTTACTTTTCCTTACATTTTTAAAAAAGCATTATCATTATGGATCAAAGTCACGTTCTTCGGGATCGGGATGCCTTGGTAAAAGGTCAGTTCGAATATTTCAAGCGATGCCTTCGTATTCAGAACTCTAAACGATTAAGTGAATTTTAAAACTAAATTCCTACAACGTAAATTTAGTACCACTATTCTAAATTTGTAGCGCCCGTGGCAACATTACAAAAATAACTGCTGACTTTTAAAGTCTCTTCAAAAACAGATCAATATAATGAAATATATCAAGTGATTTATGCAAAAAGACGACGTCACGCTACGAATTTATTTGGTTTCATTAGTTTATTCTTAAAAAAAAGAGCAATATTCATGAAAGAAATTTGAAAAACGGAATCAAGTTCTATGTTCATTTTTTTTTACATATCTATGTAATTTTCTTTAACACGCATTTCCAGCTGTGTCTATTTTTTTACGCGCGCATTTCAAGCACGCTCATTTTGAACGCGCATTTTGAACTGACATGTGTCCAAATTTACTAACCAACGACTTTTTAATTTTTAGAACTTTTAATGATATTTCCTCAAATTCTAAATCAGTTACATGGTGCTTAGATACTGGTTTGAATACTGCGCTTTTATCTGTTTTTTGGCTGTTTTTTTATTTACTTTTTTATTGTTTAATTTAATGAAACCCGATTTAGATAATGCTGAAAAATAATTAATTCTCTTAACATGAATTGAGGTGGCAGAATTGGTGTTTTTTGGCTCTCTCTATGTACCATTTCATCTTTTATTGCCATTGAGGCGGCAAACGATACTTAGTATAGTTCTAAGACATTATTCTTGAATAATGTTAACTTTTAAGCGCTACAGCAAGCTGGTCAAATTGAAGAGCTGACTAGTTAACTTCCAATGATAGCTTTGTCTTTTTCCCCAACAAAAAAAATAGTAGATAAGAGTTTTTTTGTGTGTGTGTGTGTGAAAAGTGATTTTAATTTGCTTTATTTAATAAATAAGAATTAGTAAAAATAATTGCAAAATTTTTGCACAAAATGTAAGAATAATAAGCGAGGGAATCTGTAATTGTTTATGCTTCGATAACTTTTTTGCCTTATTGTAATTTAATACCCCAACTTTTATATTTTTAATTTAAATATATTATCAGACGTGCCAACTTTTAATCCCTTCCATTATCATTTTTCCCAGTGGTATTAAAATGGAATTAAAACTTCAATTTTAAGCAAACAAATATGTTGTATTTGAAAAAAATTAAGTTGACAGCCATGATAGTAACGCATATTAATATATAAGCTTAATTTTTGTAAGAATAGTGGTGATCAAAATCATTTAAAAATTAAATTTATAAAAGAAAAAAATAGTATATATATTTACTACCTAATAGTAATATATATTTACTACCACTTTAAATATGAAAATAAAATCTCCTGCAAAATGCGGGAGAGGTGGCAGGTATGTATTATTTTGCTTAGCCTAGTTCTTCGCTTTCGCCCCCCCCCCCCCATTTTNTTAACAGCTGGCGCATCATTTCAGGTTGCTTCTCAGCCATTATCCTTAGTCTTAATCACCCTAGCTTTTATACTCTAATTTCTTTTGTGCTTTAATTTCTTTTATACTTTATTTTAAATACATTAGAAGCCGGGTTCACACTTGCCCTGATTTTCCTGTTTAAAAAGATTCTGCCCTTATTTGTCCTAAGGGGTAGTGAAGTGTGACACTGTTGGTGAAGTGGTTGTGGGGAAATGTCACACTTTGTGACAAAGGGGGTGGGAGGTCCAAAATATTGAAAGAAATTGTGACATCATTTATGGACAGTCATCTTCTAATGAAGTAAAGTAGAATGCTCTCACAACAGTAAATTTGTTCTTGGAGGTTTAGTCTGCACAAGTTCAAAGCTAGCAAGAATGTGGCAAGCATTTTAGCTGGTCATCATTCTGAAGCTGTATGGATCGTGGCTTGTGATTGAACCCTGGTCCTTCACAATGATAGCTCAGTGACTTAGCTACTGCACTATCTGGCTTTTTACTTTAAATAAGACTTCTTTATTGACATTTTCTATATTTTATTTTGTAGATTCATTGTGTTGAAGTTGATCTGCCTCTGCCTCCAGAAGTTGCTACTTCAAAAGATGGTGAATTACGTTTAGATTATCATCCTCCAGTTGGGCTTCCTCCACCAAATATAACATTCCATCCTTTGGATGTTAAAGATGGCATTATTGTGGATGATGTTATCCCTGGTACAGAATATGCATTTCAACTTTATTATTCAAATCGATCTATGATTGAAGTTTTAACATGGACTACCGTTATAGCTACAGGTAAATAATGTTATGACAATTTTCAAACTAATTTAAGATATTTTATGTGAGGGAGAGTGTTGTATTTTAGAACTATTTCAACTTTTCATTTTTGTGTGCAAAATATAATAATTCAAGTTACTTAGCAATTTTGAGAAATATAATATATATTTGTTTATCAATGTAATTTTTTTGTGGGCAACTATGGTTATACACACCAGAAAAAGTATTTTTAGGAAAATAAAAAAAATTGGTCTGTGCCGAGGTACAACATGGTGATGTACTTTGAGCAACCTCATGTTGTACCTTGAACCATTGAATGTCACACGTTAGATAAGTCATTTTGAGTTTTTGTCTTCTTGATCTGAGAGTTGATTAAAATTGGATTAACTTTTTATTAAATTTTAAGTTGTCTACATTAAGCTAAAATAAATAATTTGAATCAGATGATTTATTTATCAAGAACATAAAATTTTTTACATGTTTAAAGTGACGAAGTTCACAAGGAACTGTATTCATTCTGGCGTTAAGAAACATTGATTACACATACTTTAGATGGATCAAGGGTAGAACAAGCATTCACTTTTTTGATTTTATTAGAACCAGCAAAAAGAAGTAATTTTTCTTAAAAAGCTGGTATTTTATCTTATAGATAATGACATTTCAGTTGTTATCTGCTTTAATTTTGTTTTCAAATCTAAGTGTACTATACTACTCAGAAACTGGAAAATAAAAAAAAGTCCTTTAGCATAGGTTTGGAAAACATGTTATTGTTCCCAGGATTGCAGATGGAACCCGTTATCCCATACAGCCACAAATATCCCCAAAATCTCTTTGAGATTTCTCTTTGACAAAAAAGCTGGATATTCCAAAATCTAACAAAGATTTCCAAGATTTTAGTATTCTAAATATCCATGAAATATCTACCAGAAATCTAGGGTTCGCAACTGCATGATTTCCAACAGATACTTGGACATTATGACATCTGCTGTATATCCCTGATACATCTAAAAAATATATGTGACTTAATCACAGATATCCATGATATCCAGCACATGATATTGATATCTAAGGGGCTTTTGTTAGATGTCAATTGTATATAATATCTGGATACTTCTGAGTTATTTTTGTTGGATATTGGAGAAATATCTTAATCCTTCAAAAACTCGCTTCTACTAAATTTAATGATGAATTTAATGAAGAGTACATTTGAGTTTACATCCTATAATTTTATAAATCAAATTACTTCAAACATTACGAAATGTGGTGTATAGGTAAATAAACTCATAATATTCGATAATTTAATTTTTCAGAGCAAATTTATGAAGTTAAAATTTTTTGACAATTTTTATCCAAGAATTTAATTTTTACGCGTAACTCATAATTTTTAGATAAAAAATGTAAAATAAAAAATATATATGTTAAAAATTCATCGTATTAAATTGAAGATGTTTCCTATAAAGTAATTTTTTTTTTAGTTTGCAATCTCTTTTTTTATAGATTTTTTTTATTTTGGACTATTAGTATGCAGAGTAAGCATCAAATTAGTGAATCTTATAATTTCAAGGAAATGTTTTATTATAAAATGAGACACAAAATTATGAGATAATGCAAGACTAGAGAGTTATTTAGAGCCAAATTTATTTGTTTATTGCATTACAAATTTATTTACTATCATTGTAATAAAGAAATTTTATAATGATTGACTATTATAGCATCAGTAATAAACTGTAAATCTGGATTCGTTAAACAGTCTGTTTCCATTTAGTGTTTGCCTTTGTGTGTGATGGTAACAAAAAATTTGTAACAGATAAATCTGTTGCACTATCATATTTCCTGTACCTTCAACAAGATTGAACACATTTTAGTAGAACAATACTATGCTTGATAACATAGCATGATATTTTAAATAAAAGCATAAAGTGAACAAGATTTTTAATTCGAAAGCGACAAAGCTGTTACAACTTATTATTTTAAGCTAAATAAGAAAAAAGTTAGAAGAAAAAAGTGCTTATTTATATAAAAAAAAGATAAACTAAAATTTCTCTTGCAACTACAATTTAAGTCTTGTCTCTACCAGTTTAATATTTTTTCAATCTTCCTCCCCTTCTTTATTGCAAATTATCAGCAACATGATGTCAAATTTTAAATTTAAATTTTCTTACTTTGTGCATGTTTATTCGAAGGAGTGCATATTAATTTGATTAAGCTAAAATTACACTTGTAACTTCTTTATTATTTACTTACATTTTTTTACTAAAAAGTATCTTCCTTATTACTTTCGCAGGAAATTTTTTTTCTTTCTATCTCTGTTTTAAGTTATAAATTTTAATATGAAAACCTTATATGTATTTTCTATATTTAGAACCAGATCCACCAAGCAATTTATCAGTAGATGTTCAAACTGGAAAAATAGTGGATTTAGTGTGGGAACCTCCTCTTCAGGGAGGCTTTTCAGGGTACAAATTAGCAATTCTTTCATCCCAAGATGACTCTAGTCCACGATATTTTGACTTGCCTGAAGATTCCCTGTCTTTTACACTTCAAGATTTAACAGCTGGCGCATCATATGAAGTACAATTGTCAACTTTGTATCAAGAAAAAGAATCATCAGTCTTCATTTCATCAAATTTCACAACAAGTATGTTTCTTTTTCTTCAATCAACTTATTTTTTTCTGTAATCGACATATTTTTTCTTTAATTAGCATATTCTTTCTTTAATCAAACATTTTGTTTTTGCTTTAATCACGCAATACACAAAGCTGAGGAGTTGGATTCTCAAAAATTTGATCAATTTTGACTCTTGTTAAAAGTTCCTAAAGTTAAAACAAGTGTTAAGTCCAATAAAATTATTTAAATAATTATATATATGTATAATTATTTGAATTCTCGCAAAATTAATTAATCTCATTTAAGCATTTATGAGCATATATTTGATCAAGTAATGAAAAGAAAAGAAAATATATCGAAAGTATTTAATACTTTATATAAATGAATTAATTATTATTATAAATTCCAAAAAAACATTTATGTAGCTAAGTTTAAAAGTAAAGCAAATAAATTTAATGTCTTATTTATAATAATTTCCTAGTTCATGAACATTAACTAATGAATCTTCTTGTAAAAAATTGTTTGTATATGTGTTGATATCTAATTCAATACTTATTATGAAACAATTTCAATATTTTTTAAAAATATTTTTTATTTTGTCAACTATTATGTAATAATAAATGTACTGTCATGTATAGAATTGAAATTAAGTTTTTTTTACATAATTAATAGTTATTACATTAATATTGACTGAAAAATTTTAATTGCGTCTGAGCGCACAAAAATGTTTGAAGAAGGTTTCAAATATTTCAGCTCTGATTTAACAATTCTTCTTCTTCTTTTTTTTAAATTTTCAGAACCCAATACACCTGGCCGTTTTATTGTGTGGTTTAGAAATGAAACGACTTTGCTTGTTTTGTGGCAACCTCCGTATCCATCTGGCATTTTCGATAAATATCGTGTTAGCATATCTCCCGAAGATGCAGTACAATCTGTTCTTTTTGTTGATAAAGAAGGAGAACCACCTGGTCCTGCTCAAGCTGCATTTTATGGTCTCATTCCTGGTAGAGCTTATAACATATCAGTACAAACAGTCAGCTACAATCAAATTAGTGAACCTACAGAAGCACAGTATAGAACAGGTAAACAATGTTTTTATTGTACTAAAAAATTTGAAATGTTTGATATTTTAATTTAATTTTTCCATTGTATTGATTATATGCGTGAAACGTACTAATCATCAAAATGCATGAGCGTCTTTAATTTAACAGCTAAACATTTCATTGGTTCTTAGAATTTCATTGGTTTCATTCTTTAACATTTTCTTAAATTTTAACAACTAAATGCATAGTATGTATTGTAGTTGAAACATTAAAATAAATATTAGTTTTTAATGCCCAAAACCAAATGCATAAAAAATTTATTTTTTGTGAGCATACATATTTAAATAATTTACTTATTTAAACTATGTAATTGAAAAATAATTCACCCGAAATTACTGATTAATTATTAGATTAATTGATTAGTGCTGTAATTTGAAAATAGTTCTGTCACATAGAGTTAAGTAGTCACAGGATTCCTACTTGATTTTCATCTCATTATAATGTTTTAACTTTGACTTGGATTTGACTTTTGCATGTATTTCTAAACTTTTGATTTTTAACCCATTTTTATGTTTAATTTCTTGCCTGATTTTATCTAATTGGCAAAAACTATTGCTAATATCTATATAATAATTATTTGCTATTATCCTATTTGATTAATGAATGATTCTTTCCTTGGTGGCTTAGGGTCAGGGCAGGTCTTGGACCTCTCCTATAATTTTCTTCTAGCATTTCGACCTTTAGAAACTGGTTTCCAATTTTTAGAAATTTAACACTGAATCGAGGATCTTTTTTCCATAGGTTTAGCACAGAAAAAATTCTTTTCCATCCACTATAGTCATACATTTTATCTACATATCCGGCTCATTTAGGTTTTTTTTCCTTGTTTGTGAATTTAACAACATTACACTTTTTTTTAAAGTTTTGTGTTAAGCTGCTCATCCAAGGCCCATTCACTTGAATTTCAACCAGAATATTTTAGAGGAACTCAAAAATTGTAAGGGTTTCTTCGTAAAATTCAGTCTCAATGTATATGTTAGTACAGATCTTTCCAGATTTCTATTCATTAGTAACTTAGTTCTAAGTCTAATAAAACTGCTCTGAGATATTTCTTGAAGCTATAGCAGCTATACCACTTGTAGCAAATAAATTATGACATGTTCCCTGGAAAGTGTAGCTCTCCATTGCAAGAAGAAATATAAAACACTAGCATATTTCAATAGACAGAATTAAACTTTAGAAGAAATAAGTAAATAAAATAAAAAAATTTTCAACTAGAAAGAAATGTAAACAAAGAAGATCATTACTATCTATTACTAACAAGCTAACATAAATATTGCTAAAAACAGAATGAGGGAAAGCAAATTTAAAACAATTATTGTGGTTATAGCTCAGACTGCTTGTTACTCCAGAATATTAAGTTAGAGTGTTGTCACTGAAGAATATAAATGATAAATTTATATTATTTTAAATAATGACCTGTGTTTATTTCAAAGGACTAGAAAACTTGAATGTCCTGAGTCATAAGGACCTGTAACCGAATGGCTGAGAATGCGTGAGTTGTTTCCTAGTTGCCTGCTGGGATTGAAGCAATGACCTTTTAGGTTCGCAGTTGGATGCTTTATCCACTACTAATTAACTAACTACTATTATAATTCACCTATAATTTTGTAAATTTGTTCTTAAATCATTATATTGTATTTTACTAATACATTGTTTCTAATGTTTAATTTTCATTATTTTATAGTTCCTTTGCCTCCCACAAATGTAACTGTTAGTAAAAATACTTTAACTCCATATTCATTTCATGCTGTGTGGTCTCCTCCTAAAACTTTATCTGAGTTTGATCGATATCAAGTGGCATTGGGTATACGAAACAGTGTGAGACAAACTATTGGTCGAACTGAAAAAAGAATTGCTCTGTTTGATGAAAATTTGGAACCTGGAAGAACATATGAAGTCATTGTTAAAACTGTTAGTGGTAATGTAGCTAGCTGGCCTGCTGCTGTAAATATAACAACAAGTAAGTATTTATTTTATTTTTATTTGCTTATATTAATATAATATACGTAATATAAGTTAAAATAATTGTGTATGTTTTAACTTTAAGTGTCTTTATACCTTCATAATTTTTTTCAAAGCAGATTTCTTCAAAATTTGGCTTGCTAAATTATGTAGTTCAGCTTACCAAATTAAAAATAATTTGATGGAAAATTTAAAGTCCCTAGAATGAAAATTATTTCAAAGGATAACTGGGAGTGGACCGTATCTCTGGAGGGAAAGATTGAAGTATGAACTATGATTCATGTGAGATTACTAAAAGTTAAGGCAGTTAAGTTTGCTTTTAATATTTTTCTCTTAAAAAGTTCTCAGATGGATGTGCTTTTATAAGTAAGCTGATTTAAAACAAATACTGTATTAAAACAAGAGATTTATTTGCCTTTGAATGTGTTTTCAATGAAAAAAAATTTGTAAAAAAATGATTTTTCCCCTTAGAAGAGGATAATTCTTTATTCTTTCAGTCAACTCAGAAATAAGGCTACTTGTATAATTTACTATAAGAGTGCTGCTGTAACTGTACTGTTGACTGTACAATATTTTGAGCCATTTCAATCCAAACATAGCTTAAGGTATTATAAAGTATTGTCAAAGTGAGCACATAAAGTAATTAAAGATGAAACTTAATCTGCCATCAATTTTTGTTTTATACAATAAATGAAAATACTAGAGATAATGTTAGCTGCTGGAAATCAAAAATTACTAAAAATGAAATGGGAGAGTTCTTCTGCAAATTTTCTGAAGTCTTATGTGTTTAGCAATAAAATATTGTTAAACACTCGAAACATACATTTATTTTTGTAACCCTCTTGAAAATAAAATATCTTAGCCAATAGTATGTAAAAAGAATTCACCTTCTTTATAAAATGTTTAGATCCAGGCCGATTCTTATTTCTTAAATTTTACAAATTGATATTATAGTTTTTCTTCAGTTCTTTTTTAGAAACATATTAATTAACTAAGGCAAAAAGCGAAAAATTCACTGGCGTGTCTACTTAGGTTGACATGCCTGTGCATTGAAAAATAAACCTAAGAAATTTATTTTTTATGAAAATTTTGAAAAGAAAAAATATTATTCATAATTTATTTTTAGCATTAAAAATCAGAAGGCATTCTTAAGTAAATTTCAATAAAAATTAATTTTAAATCAAATAGCTATGCAACAATATTTTCAAACACTTACTGCATACATTCATACAAATTTTTGAACTTTGTGCACTTTTTATGAAAATTTAATATTGTGCACTGTATTAGCCCAGGGCAAGAATTCTGAGTATGGCAATAGTGTAAACAATAAACAGGCTTATAATTTTTTGGTCTTATGCTTCTAAACTATCAAAGCTGTTATTAAATTAAAAATCTTTGTGGATTTCATAATTTCAATTTAACTTTACAATTTCTTCATATTTTAGTTGTTTAATCTTAATATTTTGATTGTTTCAGTATGCATTTCAGTTCAAGTGTATGCTTTAATATTGTTTGTGTATTTTCAGCTATCTACTGTTATAGTTTTTTCTAACTATTTTTCAGGACCTCTTCCTGTTGTCAACCTAAATTCTACTGCTATTGAAGCTGGTGGAATTCTGATTCAGTGGGAACCCCATAATAGTAGTTTACAAGATTCTTATTTGGTAAGAGTTGTATCTCATTAATTTATCTCTTTATTCTACAATGAGATACTCCATACTCATTGATACAGATTTATCCATGTAGTTAAAGTTTGATTGAAATACTAAATTTAATAATTTGTTTAAGTTTGATTGGAATACTATGTTTAACTATATAATTAAACACTTTTCTGTGTTTAATAAAAAAATTATAAAATTGTTTTGTATATTTATAATTTTTTAATATATATTTATTTATTAAAATGTATTAATTTATTTTTATAATGTTCTATTAAAATGGATCACAAGTAAAAAACATTTTCAGTTTGAGTATGATGAACGCCTACTAAGCATATCACTTTTTAACTTCAACAATTTATGGCCTAGAATAAAAGTAATTATTTTTATCATTCATCAGCTGACATAAATTTTCCTTTGTTGCTTTATACTGAGCATTAATAAAACACATTTCTTACAGTTCAATTTAGATGTTATTTATTTATTTATTTTTTTTTTGGAAAGCAGTTTAAATAATGCATGCAAAAAGTTTTTCATTTATGTAAGTAGTTCACAGGATAGAACAATGCTATGAAAGGTAAAATTAACATTAATATGGGGATGAAAACCATTACTAATATTTTAGTGGTAGTTGAAGTATCATCATTGACTTTTGGCGGTTACATATACATTTTAATTTGGATGTAATATAATGATAATTTTCTTAAAGAAATGAATAAAATCGTTTAAGTAAAAATTTGATTTATTAAGAAAATATTAGTAGATTAAAAATGGCCATATATATAAAATATAACAATAATAAAGAAAGAAATCCCCTAAATTGGTCGAGGATCAAGATAATATTCTCTACATCGAGAATTTTCAGTTGAGATTGATAATCAACGATTGGGACTGGTAGGCCCAAAAAGGCACCCTCAGTCGCCACAAATTCAAAATTGAAAGTGACTGAATTTATTCCCGACCGACAGTTTAAAGCAAGGGGAAGAAATCCAAGGTTGACGAATTTTCGAAAGATTACATAGCCACAAATAAAGCCAGCCCCCCATAATCCATATTAGGTTTGAAAATGCTTTCCCCGTAATCCATATTAGGTTTGAAAATACTTTGGCAATCGCGAATCGCCCACAAGACTGACAATTAGTATGACCATGTAACTGAAACATATTTGTGGTGAGAAATTAAGAATTAAGAGTTAAAAATAGATTTTTGTTTTTGAATAGGTGCGGCAGTAAATTAATGAGTATATATTAGTATTGAAATAGAAAGTTAGTCATTACATTGATCGATAAGAAAAGAATAAAATATTTTATGTTCGGTTTTTATAAATTTTAATAAAAGCTAACTAATTTATTTTATTTAATTACAATTCAATTAAGAATGATTAAAAAAATAAGTTTAAGAAATTAAAGAAATTTTAAAAGCTAGGAAATATGTAATGCCAATTGTGGCATCACAATTAAGGATTCCAAACTTGTGTCCAATTTTCTGAATAAGCTTTTGTGACAGTATTTTGTGATAATCAATCCTTAAAAGATTATATGTTTGGAAAAAAATTGGTTTTTGGATTTATTTTGGTTACAAAATATCATTCGAAGTAATTAACAAGGATTCTATTAGCAAGTTTTGCATGTAAGATACTCGATTCTTTGATACAAAACGTAAAAAGCTCAGTCTTTTCATATCTTTAAGATTGAAATAAGTATTTTTCTTTAAATATAAATGTAGTCTTATTAGAATTTTAAATAGTTTATATTAATTAAATACTTAGGTTAGCAGTCATGAACTAGAAGCTTACAATGGCGATGGAATTCCTCAAGTTGTTCATGAGACTAATTATCAATTGAGTGATTTATTACCAGGAAGAAATTATTCAATTAGCGTTGTGGCTTTATCTGATGGCGTTTCTAGTGAACCAGCTGCTGTATATCAAGCTACAAGTATGGCATATTTTACAATTGACTGTTGTTGAATTACTACAAATTTTTTTTTTTAATTGGAACCTTAATTCTAAATGATGTTACATGCTTTTTATAATCTTTCATCTGTAGCATTTTAAAGGGCTCCATTTTGAAGGCTAACTCTTAAAACTAAAGGGGTTTAAGCAAAGTAAGGATAAGCCAAATTTTCAAATCCTTCCATGTATATGACAATTCCTGAAAGAGTTCAATAAGGAAATAATTAAGGGGTAGCTTCTTAATTGTTTTAAATGTTTTGGTTTGACACTAACTTCAATTTATTGTGAGGATCACGAGATTAAAACTTAATAAAAAGCTGTGTAAACAAATGAAATAAATTTTTTTACGCTCATTTAAATGAGACCAAACCCGAGTAGCCAGTAATAACTATAGTTTAGAAATTATATGGGTATGCGTAAAAAAAATTCAATTACTGTCTACACCTATTTACTTGTCTTATATTGCTATCTAAACAATTAAAGTAATATTTCCAGTGAGATTTTTAATCTGAATTATCTAGGTTCAAGCCCAAGTCAGCAGATCTAAAAGTTATGATTATAAAAATTATGGGAGATTTGTGTAAAGAAAATTTTTTTACTTATACACATAACTTAGAAACTAACAGTTCTATCCACTGTTAGTCAATCAATTTGATATCATCTACTTTAATGCAAAACAATATGTAATTTTGTATTCTTAATAAATAATTATTTATTACCCTTGTAATCTTTTTTTTCTTGTATCTTCAAATATTTAATTGATTTTCTTTTAGTTGTATATTTTAATCCTTGTGTCTATTGTTCTTAGGACCTTCTTCGCCTGTCATTGAAATGCTTGAACCTGTGGCACTTGGTTGGAATATATCATGGAAATCTGACGTTACAAGTAGACAAGATTCTTATACTGTTACTTGGGTTAGAAATGATACTGGAAAAGTCTTGACTAATACCACAAAAGACAATTGGTTATTAATTGACAACTTGTATTCAGGAGCCAGTTATGAAATTAAAGTTTATGCCATAAGTTATAATTTAGAGAGCGAACCTCATTCTTACTATCAAACTGTTGGTAATTGCTTATTCATAATTTATACTTATAAATCTTAAAAATAAATAACTTATTCACATTTTTAAAAAAAACGTTAAAAAATTTTATAGACATAAAAATTATTATTAATTATTCTTTATTTAGTAGTTTCCACAAGGATCAAAAAAATTTTAATATTTCAAAACAAAAAAGATTTATGATAGCTGTGAAATTTGTATAATTTTGATGAGGATAATTTTCGTATGCAATTTAAGCTATATTATGATTCTCTGTAACTCTAATGATAATGTTACTTAATTATTATTGTATATAACATATATTATTAAATTATATAATTATTCAAAATTAATTCTTATAGCTCCCAAACCTCCACAAAATGTTCAAATCGTGAAGGCAAATAACTCTACAATGATTTTAACTTGGATATCGCCTAATGAATCAGTGATTGACCATTACCTTGTACGTTATCGCCCAGTTAGTACAGTTCCTTGGAAAGAAGTTGGTGAGTTGTTGGGTTCAATCAACTATTTCATTAAATTCACAAACCTTAATTTTATACTTTTGCTTTACTGATATTTTAGTTAATATATTCAGTATTCAACTAATAACGAATTTAAATGTCAAGAGTTTTGTGCTAAAATAAATTTCAGCCTGTAGTTGGACCATTTATGTTCTGTGGTACATTTTCCTGTGGCATGCTAGTGCTATCCATAATAATCACTGTAACAATTTATTACATTTTGATGCTCCATTGATCTATTAAGATTGACTTGTTTTTAACCAAATATTGAAAATTTATTCGAACAAGATACAAGATTAAAAGACTAATGCAGGGTTAAATTTAAAGCTTGATTCAAAGTTTGGCATTTTTAATATGCCTTATTAATGTGTAGAAAATGCTTTATAAATAATTGCATTTTTTATTTAATATTTTTCGAAAGAATAATGGAACTTCCTGTGAATCATGTTTTCTTCTTAAGCTATTCTTTTGAAACTACAATAAGACTATTTTTCTTAATTATATATCAAAAGAAGTGCTACGAAATTATTTTAAGTTCCATATTTTTCTTTTAATACTCTTATAAATAAATAAATACATTCTTATATTCTCCCCATTTAATCAGTTTTTAAGTCTATGCAGGTTTTCATTTATTTTAGTGTTTGTGGTCCACCATTTATTTGGTAAGATATCAAGTGGTCCTTATGAAAAGGTTGAGAATTGCTAGATTATTTAACAGAACCTTTATTTTGTTGAATTTTTTTTCTGTGCCACTTTTTATTTTGGTTTTTTATATTGTTGAAATTTTTTATTGTAATAGTTGTGATATGTTTAAAAATAAAAATGAATAATTACAAATTTTTCACTATAGTTTTTTTGTTAACATTTTAGAAACTCTATTCAAGTATGCTTATTGATTCAATTTTACTTTTATTGCTCTGTTTAAGAAAAAACATTTAAAACAACAAGCTATTAGAAGCTTGTTGTTTGGACAACTATAAGAAGCTTATAAGTTAATTTCAATTGAGCATGTTATCTTTTCTCTAATTTTTTCAACAGCAAAATGTGCTCTTATTTGTATAAAATTTGCCTAGAATATACTCTTTGTTAATTGAAGTTTCATTCAAACATTCTAGAGTCCCTACAAACAATACATTAAATAATATTATTTTTAACTGTATATGTCAAAATAAGCTTAACGTAGAATCAGTTATCTATTTGGAGCCCCAAGAGACACTTAAAGAAAAAGAGACATTCTTCTGTGGTTTTCAATCATTATATTTTGTGCTTAAAATGGAAGACATGGAATTTAGAGTCTTAGAATTAAGATTAAGAAAAGAATTATGCATCTTATTTAAAATTAAAACAATTTTTTGTTTGTTATCAACTATAATAAAATAATTTTAATTTGATACTAATTATTTTGAAAAGAGCTATTATTTTTTTGTGCACTTTTGAGTGACAATTCATTTATGTATGTAAAAATTCTTTTTAATTTTTGTCTTTTACAAACTTTTAGAAATATTAAAATATTTTTCTTGGGTTGAAAAAAATTTTAGTAGATAGTTTTCCTGGCCTAAATTCAAAAAATGTCTAAAAGGAGAATATTGCTTAAACTCTGTCATTCTATTTTTTTAAAATGTATTGTATAAAATCACATAAATAAAAACATGGCCTTTTTAATAAATGTGATGAAAATTAAACAATCTTTTAATTTTTTCACAAAATATAGATATTTACTTTTATTTTGAAGCATGATCAACAATTTTTAATGTTGGTATTAAAAATGTAAATTATAAATGAAAAATACCCAACCCAGAGTTATTTTTTTACCATTTATCAAGCAACAGTATTTATAATATACATAGGTAATTATTATGTATAATTGCATATAATACAAAACTCATTTTCTGGCTTAAATTATGTTTAGTTTTTTTTTCTCATTAGCGTAAAAGAAAAATTTTATTAAAAATATCCATGTTTAACCTAACATAAAACAGAAAAGTGATTTTCGAGATTATAAAAAGAGATTATATAAATTTTTAATAAATATTTTTTCAAGCAAAATATTTTTAATGATTGTTTATTAGTCAATATCTGCTTTAAAATAACCATAGTATGCTGTAAAAATGTTTTATATATATTAAAGAAATTCAAAAGCAAATAAAAATAAAGTTTTGAACTTCCCTCAATTATTTTATTGCATCAACATAAAATATTTTATTTCTTTACATTCATTATTTTTATGCTGCATCAATAGTACATTATAATGCATCATTTTAGTTGTTGCCAATGCTACTTCTTGTGAAATTAAAAAATTAGATTCAGGAGAGAAGTATGAAGTTCAGGTTGTATCAATGAGCAATAAAGTGGAAAGTCCAGATGCCAAAATAATAGAACAAACAATGTGTAAGCTTTATTTTCACTTCTATCTGTCTTAATAATTATTTTGAATTGTTTTTAAAATTGATAATATATACTAGGAATATGATTTGACTTATTTGTTATTTTCACTTCATTTTTGAACTACAATACCAGAACAGCTTGTTAAATAAAAATAATGATACTAGTAAAATAAATAATGTATACTCTTTTAGTTTATTCTTTTAGTTTATTCTTTTAAAAAACATTTTGAACTAGCAACCTGTAAATGTTTTTCAATAATGTGATTGATTTGTTTTAATCATTGCATTTGAGCTACATTAACTAGCCATTGACGATAATTATCCCTTTGAAGAGAGTACTAAATGCAGATTTCTCTCAGAACATTTTTATTTCACAAACATAACATTAATTAAAGAAAACAAAATTAAATATTATTGGTCATCCTGCGACCAAGCTAGCTAGTGAAGAGGTTGAAAAGGGAAGTCGGTGTTTTTCATCTGAAGGAGAATATATATCACAAGGATCATAGGGTTGCTTTTACCTGAAGATCTTAAATCGCCAAGCTGGCGGTAAGACTGGTGAGAGTGGCGGGCACTGCACTCTCCCCCCCACAGTGTATCACTTTCTATACTTTTTTGGAAAACGCGCAGTTCTTCCAAACCTATTTTTGGCCTCCCGCATTACAGGAGTACACTGTATTTCACACTCTAGATTCTTAGTTATTTCAGAAGATTGTATTAATTCACTTTCAAGGGAGGCAGGTTTCACACGATCTATGGAGATTGTTGACTTCCGACCTCTAATATCAACTTCAAAAGTTTCATCAGTTCCCTGAATCACTTTAAAAGGTCTGTCGTAAGGGGCTTGCAAGGGTTTCCTCACAGTATCATTTCTAATGAATACATGACCACATTCTTTTAAGGCTGGATGCACAAACACTGACTTTGTAAAAAGGCAGGAAGCTGGAGAAGGTCTGATAGTAGAGAAATGTTTCTTTAAATCCTCACTAGTTGAATAGGAGAATCGAAAAATTCTCCTGTAAGACAAAATGTTGTCCTGTAGACGAGCTCTGCGGATGATGACTGTAGATCTTCCTTATATACAGCTCGAAAACCCAATAGGATAGCTGGTAAGGCATCCGACCAATGATCTGTACTGTAGGCCTTGAGTGCAGCTTTCAAAGGTCAGTGCAGTTGTTCTATCATCCCATTACTTTGAGGATGGTAAGATGAGGTTCAAACTCTTTTGATGCCCAGAAGTTGTGCTAGAGCTTTGAAGAGTCTACTTTTGAACTGGCGACCCTGGTCGGGCGTTATCACTGAAGGTGATCCAAAGCGAGCAATCCAGGTTTTGAAGAAAGCTTCCACTAGCGTCTCCGCTGTAATGTCCGGAATCGGAACAGCTTCCACCCATCTAGTATATCTGTCGATCATTGTCAAGCAGTATGAAAATCATTTCGATGGTGATAATGGGCCAACGATATCAAGATGTATATGGTCAAAGCGTTTGGACTTTATTGGAAAATTAAAAATAGGGGATTTAGTATGCCTATTTATTTTCGATTTTTGGCATGGAATGCAGTGCCTAGACCACATATTGCAATCTCTATTCAAGTTAGGCCAAATAAATCTAATACGTATCAATTTATTAGTTGCTTTTATTCCGGGGTATGATAAGTTATGAATAGTATCAAATATTAGTTTACGAAATTGTTTTGGAATAAAAGGTTTAACGTTTTTAGTTGAAATGTCACAATATGAAGTAGTGTTCGAATCTGGCATATTTACTTTCTTAATATCTAAACTTTGAGGATTCTTGATTAAACTGTTTAATTCTTTGCCATTTTCCTGAGCTTTTGCAATTTCGCTGTAATTTATTGGATTTGGCATATTTATAGATGCTATTCTTGATAATGCATCTGCAGTTATATTGTCAGAACCATTTAAGTGTCTTATATCTATTGTAAACTGTGATATAAAACCTAATTGACGAGCTTGATGAGGTGAAAATTTATCTAACTTTTGCTTAAATGCATAGATGAGTGGTTTGTGATCGATGAACAAAACAAAGTTTCGTGCTTCGAGCATGTACCTGAGTTGTTCGATTGAAGCGTATGCAGCAAGCAACTCCCTATCATAGGCGCTATAGCGTTTTTCTGTTTCGGATAACTTGCGCGAAAAAATGCTAACGGTTGAAGATGTCATTTTCTGTTTGAAATAAAGCTCCCCCAGTAGCCCCCCAGTCATTGCGCTTTGCACCTTTCAAAAAATCCTTTAAATGAGTTTGGTTATGAGCTGCACAAGGTAGAAAACGATGAAAAAAATTTAGAAGTCTGAGAAATCTTCTAAATTTTTTAATTGTTTTTGGTTGTGGGTAATTTAAAATAAGTCTACTTTATTGGGTAATGGTTTGGTGCCATCCTTAGTTATTAAGTGACCTAAAAATGAAATTTCTGGCGCACCAAACTGACATTTTGATACATTTACTGTTAAACCATATTCGTTTAATTTTTGATATACGTCTTGAACATGCATTTTATGCTGTTCTTCTGATTCACTAAAAATAAGGATATCATCAAAGTAAACATAGCAAAAAGGCAAATCTCCCAGAATTTCATTCATGAACCTCTGAAAAGTTTGTGCGGCTCCGCATAGACCAAAATTTTAAAAAGGAAACTCAAAACGCCCAAAAGGCGTACACACTGCAATTTTTTGTATGTCATCTGGGTGTACTAGAATATGAAAATAAGCACGGACAATATCAATCTTTGAAAAAAGATTTTTTTTATGCAGTGCGTGTGTGAAATCTTGTGTATGGGGAATTGGGTACAGATCCGGTGTTGTCACAGCATTTAATTTCCTATAGTCTCCAACTGGTCGAATACTTCCCGAGCTTTTAGTAACAACATGGAGTGGAGATGACCATGGTGACTTCGAGGGCCGGCAAATACCCTGCTCTAACATAAACTGAAATTCTTGTTTTACAACATAGTATATTTCTGGACCTAATCGCCTAGCTTGTGTATGGACAGACCAGTTGTATCGATGTAATGTGCAGTATTATGACACACCTGCTTAATTTTTGGTGTTAATTTAGTGAATTCCTGAAAATTTGATAAAAATTTATGAGAATATGTGTCACCTGAAATTAATTTTATTGAAAAAGCATTAGTTTTGGCGGTTATGCCCAATAAAGAAAGATTAGTGACACCAGCAATTAATTTACAATGTTTTAGGTCAATCAACAGTCCAAAGTACTCATCTACTTAAACATTACATGACATTTTTTTGTAAAACTGTATAAACTAAAATAGTATTTTAATGGTAAGAAATATATTGTGTGTATGCAAGTACGTAACTTGAATTATATTGTCTGTGTAAGTTAGCTAAAAAAAAAAATTTTTTTTTTATGTATTTTTTTCATAGTTTAACTATGTGCTTTTGGTGAGGAACACAAAATAATCTTTATAATTGTAATAACTATATTGAAATTTCTTAATGTCAAGCACCTTCTTATTTAGTTTGAAATATCAAGCTATTTAACCCTTTTCGAAACAGCAAATCTCAATTGAAAATTTTAATAAGATAAAACGTTAGCAAGTGCAACCGTAGACAGTACATTCTAAGTGAAGCGACATACTTTAGCTCTCTTTTGCTTAAGGAAAAGTGGTTGCTAAATCTTTGAATACAATTTGTTTCATATTTCTAGTGGTTTGTATCGCTTATTGAATTAGTTTTGCCAGATTTGCTACATTGCACTGAAAAGAGTTAATTGTTAAGTTGATTTCTTGAAATGATTTTAAAATTGTCTGGTACTGTAACATTCAGTTAAAATTTTCTTTAATATTCTAGTAATAGCTGCGGTGGCGGCTCAGGGAATAGAGCTTTTGCCTTCCACTGATGTGAAACAGTTACCAATCCCAGCAATGGCTGCTTGATACGAATTGCGCGCCTGTCTCGCACCAACCACAGTGCTGACATAAAATATCCTCAGTGGTAGACGGATCATGGGTTAAGAGTCCTCGTGCCTTCAGTCTAACCGTGGGATGTTTTTGTGATTTTTCCTCTCCATGCGGGTTAGTTCCATTAAAAAGTCGTCCACAAAAGCAAATTTCTCCCAATACTTGTTCCAGGAGATCCCTTGTCTTCTGGATTGGATTAAAAATTACAAGACTCTGGAGTTGAACATTAGTAGTCATTAACCCAAAATTAAGACGGCTGTTCAACGATGATTATAAAATGAAAATAAAATATTTCAGTAAAAAAGTTAAGGAAAATATCTTTCTGTAGTATAGATTATTATTATATATTATTAAGTTAGGGGTCCCTTAATTACTCATGAAAAAATCTATAAGTTTAAATATACAATTTAATCCTAAGTTCAGTGAAGATGACTACTATTGTCACCTTCCTCTAATTCATTAATTAAAATGGATGCATTGAAAAGACCAAATGTTTTATTAAATTAATGTAGGTATACCAGTTAAAAAAAGAAAATTAAAAGGATTAGGAAAGCAAAATAAAATTAAAAATGGAATAGAATATAATTTTTAAACTAAATGAACAACTTCTAAGTGAAGAAAACGTAATCTTTTTTTTTTACAGATTTTAAATATAATTTTTTAATTAAGTTATGCTTATGAAGTTATCTAAAATGTTTTTGTTTTTCAGATCCTAACCCTATTAAGCATGTTCGTCATATTCTTGATTCCTACAATATAACATTTGAGTGGAATATTCCTCCTGGTAAAAAGGATTATTATATTGTTAACTACTATCCTGTAAAATCTCCATTTCCACAGCTCTCTCATCAGGTAATATTTGTTTATTTGTGATATTTTTCTTTAAAAAACACAAAGTTTTAGTTTAAGTAGTTAACTCAATATCTTAAAAAAAATTTTGACTTCATTTTGTTCTTGCAAAATGAATTAATATTTATCATACTATTTTAATTATAACATCCTAATAAAACTTTTTCAAATAGGTTCCTGCAAATTATTCTAAAGCAGATGGTTTGATGACTTGTATGATCGATGAGTTAAAGCCTGGAGAACTATATTCATTCCTTTTCTATGTTGTAAGTCATAGTTTAAGAAGTGAAGGCATTGGCCTACAAACAAGAACAAGTAAGTTCTCATTCATTTTTGCTATCCTTATGATCAGCTTTCATCATTTTAAGTGTAACTTCAAAGGACTTGTAGACTAATCAAATTAGTTTAAAATGCCCCCAACATAGAGTTGATTGGTATGAAAATTCTGAATTATAATAATGCTCATTCTTCTGCTGTCACATCACTTTTACATACTGGTAAAAGATTTGCGATATTACAATTATTATGGCCTAATTTAATCTATAATGTTAAGAAATATTCTTTTGCTAAAATTACTTACCAATTTATACTAGTTAAGAGGAAAGCAAGTAAACTTCATTTACTAGTGGAAAGCTATTTGAATGATAAATTGATTGTTATTAAGATAAAATGCTAAATAAATCTGTATGATTGTGTGTTCTATTTTTTCTTTTAAATTAGCTTTTTTTTTATGGAAATACTTTTTAATAACTTAACTTTCTTTAGTCTTGAGTTCAGTTGCCAATGTGAGTCTATGTTACTTGAACAAAAGTCATATGCAATTTAAAAATAAATCATAATGTCTCTAAAAATTCTCAAAATGATACAGACCATCATCAACTGCAACTTCTGATAGTTTTTGAAATTATTTAAAAAGTGCAAAATCTTATTGAACAGTACATTGTGCTTGCTACAATCAAAAGCAGAAATAGGAGGAGGTGCTTTTCAACCTTTAAATTTTATTTTTCATTTTAATTTTAATTTTTTTTTCTGCTATCATTGTAAACAAATTTTTTATTGTGTGTCTGTAGTATGCTTTTATTAGTGATTCTAATATTTTCAAAATACAATTCTTTTATAAAAGAGCATAATTCAAAAATATTGAAAATTATTCAAAATTCATTATATATTAATTAATTATTCAAAGTATTATCAATGTAAATTATTTTATTTAATGCTGCATTATTTATAAGTACTGTTATGCTTAACGCTTACTAAAACATTCATTTTCTTTAATTTTTATCTATGTATACAGTGCAATTAATATTTTTAGTCCTTTTCGTCATTCCATTATTTTAATATATTTTTTAATTGAAAAATATATATTACCTTTCATTTTTCATGCTCCCTTGAAGTTAAAAGTAAAATTGTATGTGTATTTAATTGGAAAAAAAAGACATGATTATTTTATTAAGTAATTTGATACAAATGTTGTAAATTGAATTCTGTAAATTAATGACATTAAATAATGCTGAAGTATGACATTTTCATATGTACTCATAGACTAAGGGGATCTCATTCTTTTATATACATTACCAATTTAACAATTACATAATAAAATTTTATTTGTATGTTAAGTTGAAGTGTAATGAATAAGCATATTCAGAATCTTCAGTTATTCTTTTTTATCATGTTAGTATGTATATGGTACGGAAGTTCATGTTTTTTTTAATTGTTTTTTAAAAATATTAATGAATGGCTTAGAAAATTTTGGAGTATCCTTTATAACAGCTTAATTAATTTTAATTTAGAGCTATAGTATTATTTACTTTGTTTTAAATAAACCAAATCTGAACCAAGAAATAAGCCAAAAATTTGTTTTAAATAAGCCTAACAGGATTTTCCTTCTTTTTGAAAAAATACTTTTTTCAAACCCTGCTTTAATTATTTAACTTAAGATTTAGTTGTTATATGTTTGTTTTCTTTTAAGTTTTTGTTAGTTTCTATCAGTTAAAATAATTTTCTGAATCATTAATATTTTTCTTTACTGACTGCATTTTAGTTTATTTACTATTTATTATTTCAGAACCTGTTATAGATTCTGTTATCCATATTGTTACTGATGAACAAGAAACAAAAACTTTGGGAATCAAATATACACCAACACCTATACGAAGTGTTGTATTTGACCGCTATAGATTTCAGCTTAGTGGCACCAATATTCCCGCTCAAGAGAAACTTCAGAATGATACCAATCGATTAGTGATATTTGATGACTTGATTCCTGGACGATTATATAACATAAGTATTTGGACAGTAAGTGGTGGTGTCTATAGTGTACCAATCGACAGACAAGCTAGATTATGTAAGTGTATATTCTAAAAATTCATTGCTTTATTCAATGATGTTTTAGTTGTGTTTAAAGTACAGAATGTCCAATAGTAGAGTACATAATTTTAAAACTGTATGATGCTGAAACAATTAGTTTCCATTGTATTATGTAGAATTAATTAATCATATTGATAGGGACAATTATAAGAATTTCATACATATTTTTTTGAAAATAATTGCAAAAATTACCTACGAATCGCAACTGAACATTAAATTTGGTTGTGAATTTTTGCTGCATGATTACTATCTAATCTGTGTTACTAAATTAAAAACAAGTTGTGAAAACATTTGCTTTCCATATTTCAGTCAAAATAAATATGCTATCTGTGGCTCTTTCTTACTTGTAAAGCTACAAACTTATAAGATATTTCACAAGTTCATAGATGTTAAAATTGAGAAGAAAAAAAGTTGTCACAGGTATTTTTTCTGAAAAAAAGTAGAAATGAAATATTCTCATTAACACTTCATTTTTTTCTAAATTAAAAGCAGTCGTCAATACTCCAATATTAAATGTACCTTGTTCCATGAACATGACTTTTTTTGGCGTAATCTCTTTTCACATTTCAGTGATGGAATTGAAAGCTGTGGGCTGTAAAACACAGTCTACAAGGCTCTATATAATTGTCACTACAGCAGCTATTTATTAATAATTAATCTCTTAGCTACTTTTTTAATTGCATAAAATATTTAAATATTGTAATGTCATTCTTTTTTCTCAATTATTGTTTTATATATTTATTTTTAATTTTTTGGTTTAGAGAATTTTGAAATCAGATACTCTTTCGCTGGGTACCCTGTATAATATACAATTTAAATACACCATGTGCATACATATATATATATATACGAGAGTAGGTTGAAGCTGGGTACCTTGATTGTGTCAAAATTAGTTCTGTTTTCCCATGGACAAACTCGAAATTACGCTTAACTAGTCGAGAAGAAAGACCTACCATATTGGCGTTTTTTGTTTTTTTATTATTATTAATTTACTTCGTCTGTGTAGATAAGTTCGTTTTACTATGTCAAGTCTATTGCTTTTTAACTAGCCTCATTTATTAGTAATTACAGTTACAAAAATTATTTTTAGTCTAATTTATTATATGTTTACTAAAGATTCATATTTTAACAAACAATAAGGATTAGCTGAGTTATCATCACATCGTTGTTACAAAGGAGCACATCATTAATTGTGAGAAACTAAGCTCGTTTAAAAAATATTTCGGTTGTATCAACTTTGGCTAACACAAGTATTTGGATCAAAAAGGTTCATATAAGCAAGGTTCTACTGTACTTGTTACAAAAATCTTTTATATTCATATATAAAAACTGCTAATTGTAAACTATGTGATTTACAACTTTAAAATTGATTTGTTTAAACACTTACTTTAGATCCAGAATCTGTTGGTGAAATAATGGCTCCAAAGATAACAGATACTGAAATTACTCTGACTTGGAATGTCCCAGATGGTGATAAGGATGGATATGAAGTTCAGTATCAAGACCATGAAGGAAATCTCATTAAAAATGTTACAATCTTAAATCGCATAAGTTATAGTGTACTTCGTCCTCATCACAACTACACATTCCTCGTCTCAGTATTAAGTGGTTATGATACTTCTACTACAATTCGTGGAAGACCTATTTCCAGAACATTTCATACTCTAGAATCAGGTTTGTTAACATTTTCAGTTCTTAAATTTGTTTTGGTATTAAAAATCCTAATTTTTTATTATTTTCCCAGAATATATCAAACTAATGAACTAAACTTTAATAATAAGGCTAGAATTTAATGAAATATCGGTTAAATCCAAATTTCTAACCTTTACTACAAAAGAAGTTTTTAATGTAACTGTGTTTGGGTACAAAGTTGCGGGCAAAATTTTAGCTTATAGTTACGATTTTTCTCTTTGTCTGAAAAAATATTTTGCTAATTCTTTTTAACCAAGTCATAAATTTATAATATGTTACTCAATAACAAAATTAATAAACAATATGCTTTAGAATTTCAAAATATCCATAGCTTGAAATTTGGAATGTCAGCTAAAGATGTGTCATGAAGTTTCTGGCTCTATATTTTCCAGACCAACTGCATGATAATGGAAATGTGGTCATTGTGCACTGGTCTTTTTACACATTTATACTAGTACCCAACAATCTGATGCTGGAACTATAAGATACATCATATTTAATTTACTAAATATAGCAGCTCTTTTTATAAAACTGATTTAAAAAATTATATAATGTAAATTACCACTTCTGATGATTCATTCATTTCATTAAAAAAAAAATTTCAAAATTTTTTATGTCGGTGGGGGGATTTCTGTTTGTGCATCCTACCCTATTGAAGTTAAGAATTTCGATTTTAACAAAAATTACTTTTGAGTAGTTCATCAATTTGGAATTTTTGTTATTCACTGTTCTTTGATATTCATCCTACATAGATATACATTGAGGTAAACAATTCTATAAATATGTTTATATTTAATGTTAGTTATTTTGCAATTATTTTTAATATCAATGACTAACTTATTAATGAGTTTTATTTTTTATTTGATTCTCTTTCATTCTTGTTGCTATAATTGGTAATTAAATTGATGTATAATTATTTCTTACTTGTTACATGATTATTAACTTTTCTTTTATGAAACTTTTTCTCATATTCAGTTCCTGGAAAAGTAAATAACTTTCAAGCAGTGTCTGTGAAACCAAATGTCATTACTCTTCAGTGGACTTTGCCAAGTAGTGAACAAAATGGAATATTAACCGGATTTGTAATAACATACTTCGTAAAGGTATAAAAAAATATTTTTAAATTTTTAACTTGTGTAAAAGTTTTTTTTCTTTCCAAGGAAAGTGTTGATTTGAAAATTATTTTTAAATAAAGTACTCCGAGTAAGTGTTAGAGCAAATATAAGATGATTATAAAATAATTTTGCCATCTTATGATCCTCTGGAGAGCATACCATTTGAGTGAACAAAATAAAATTTTGTACATAGATATTTTGTTTTATGCGCTCAAGAATGATGTTTAGATTGATTGAGTAGCTCTCACAGTTACAGTGACAAAATTTTCCAATGTCAACGCCCATTTTTTTATCAAAACATAATCCTTACAATAAAAAGCCTAAAACTGAGTTGAAACAATGTTTTTAGAACAAGAAATTCCAATACTAGGCTTTTGCTAAGTGTCGCCATTTTTTGTGGCCACTAGCAACAAGGAAGAGTAAAAAAAGCATTTAAAAAAGAGGGACAATTACAAAGAAGTCATTTTATATTGAAAAAAAAATTGGCATTGTTCTTCCTCATATGTCCATAGTTTCTTCTGTGTTATTACAACATCACATGTTATTACGAAGGTTTCTATCGCATTCTTTTCTCGTTAATGGTCGTGAAAATGGCAATGCTTGACAAAAGCTTAATGTTGCAATTTCTTGTGCTAAAGATATTGTTTTAACTGCATTTTAGATTTTTTTCTGTAAGGATTACACTTCAATCTTGCCCCTGCACTTTGAAAATGTTGTCCCTGTAACTATGGGAGCTACAATCGTTTTTAGCATCATTCTTGAGAGCGTGGATCATAATACTTATGTACAAAATTTTATTCCGTTGGCTCAAGTAGTACTACAGAGGGTCATATGTTGGCAAAATTATTTTATTATAATGACCCTGTATAAAGCTATGTATATGGTGTGCAAAACTAAATATTTTAATGCTATTAGTGTAGCACTCCTTGGATGTAAGATTTAAATACTGTAAGGATAAAAAAAAGTTCTGTCACAGAAAAAATTTGGCTCAAATAGTTTCAAAAAGTATCATAATTTATAGTTTTTTCACTATGAAAAATCTGAAAGTAGTCATTTTTTATACTTTTTTACCTACGTAAGCATGATTTAAAATTACATTTACATGATTTATAATCAGGCATAGCGATTTGTATTCACACAATTTAAAAAGCGCACATTGAATGGTATATTCAGAACTTCAAAATCTGTTAAAATTCCTCAGAAGAGATAAATTAATCATACGAAAAGAACTACAAAAATATTATTTTTAAAAAGCAGAATATGCAAAAGATGTTGTAATAAATTATTTAAACCTATAACTACACATTAGTTACGGATGCATGGCCACAGTGGTATAAATTTAGTTAAGATATTTAACAGATTTGAGAGTTTATTACTGTTTTTCTTATAAATGATAATTGGATAGGTCTTAATTTATATTTTCCCATTTATCTGAACTTGACCTCCTTATTAATCATGTTATTCATCAATAGTTTTTATATAATTAATAAAAAATATTTCTAGTATAATTAAGGATAACTTAGCTACATATTTTAACTTAAATTCAAGGCCATGTCAGTGCATAAAGTGCAATATTACTTTTGATTGCAACAAAACAACTAAATTGAGTAAGAAAATTTCACAGTGATATACATAATATATCAATTATTAAGTATTGCTGATTAGTTAGTTTATATGTGATAGTAAATTTTTTATGATTATATATACTTTGCAATTATACCACTGCATATTAATATTAAAGTGTAATTGTAGCACCGTGTATGATGTAATGTTTAATATTGTTATAAAACAGAATTCTTAAGAATTTTTTCTACTTTCAATTATTTGTTTCTTACTTTCAATCTATTATTTTAATTAAATAATTCTTTCCTTAGGGATCTCTATTCCACCAATATGAGAAATTTGGCCCGACTGTTACTGAAGGAACTATTAAAAATCTTGTTCCTGGCAAAACATATGTTTTTGAGGTAAGCAATACATATATAATGTAAACAGTTAAAGACAAATAATTGTATAAAAAATAATGCATTGTTAGTTAGTTTTGAATATAGCTATTAATTAAGGACTTTAGTAATGTTAACTCCTGCCGTGTTTATAAGAGATATTTTTGTACGCAATAGTAAAATAAAAAATTGCCTGTGAGACCCTAATAACTGTTATTCTAAGAAAAGGAAAGTTGGTAATTTACTGAATTATAGATTGAATTAAAGCATGAAAATGACCTTCAATGCAGCTTCTGTAAATACAGGTAACTTTAAAAAATCTGTGGGTGGTCTTTATAATGTTTTTTTCTGGCAGGCCCAACGTGTGCCCTAATAAAAGGTTGATGAACTTATTTATTTGTTCTGTTTTTCATTGATTAATTAAAAATTTAGCTTACAAATTTATCCTCAACTATCCTATATCCTAAAAACTATCTATCCTAAAAACAACTATCCTATATCCTATTTATGATTGACTTCAACGGGTCTTACTGGGTAAGTCTTATTATTATTATTGTTTCCATTCTATTCCATGTCTTTCATATTTGTTATTGCTGTTTCCTATTTTATACTTCATTGATCATGTCTCAATTCAACAGATTTCATAGTCTAAGGACTAAGAAGTTTAGGTATCTTAATCACTTGCATTTTTTACTTGATTGTAAACTGCTACATATTATTCCTCATTTCATTAAATTTAAGACTAACCTTCCTTATTCCAAGAAAGTTAATTGCATTCTTCACAAGACTAAGTTTGCTCTCCTTAGAGCCGTCATTAATGGAAACTAGGAATAAACTATCCAAAATTGAATGCGAATTGTACCATTTACACATCAGTGTGCCTAATCTAAATTCAAATTTTGACGCAATGGAAAAATCGTCTTGGAATGGAGCAACCAAAATCTCTTCAAAACATAGTTTAAACCTGAATAATAAGTTGAGTAAACTCATCAAAGTTAATGATAAAAATCCTGACGTTAGTTTGCCTGTTGTTAATCAAAATTCTGTAGTTAATCTCTCAAATACCACTCTTACTGATGTTCAAATTAATGCTTTAAAACTTAACAATAATTTTGCTATTTCAACTCGACCTTCATTACCTAAACTCATTGCTCCTATCGAAAGATCTTTTAAATTCAGTAAAATTAATGATGCTCAAAAAGATTCTATCAGACACCTTATTGCCAATACCGTAGACTTCAACTCAAAAATATCTAATTCAAACCTTAGCCTTTCCTCTAAAGTAATTCTTAAAGATATAAAGTCCAATCCCAACTTAATCGTTACCAAAGCTGACAAAGGTGGTCAAATTGTTCTTCTAAACAAAACAGACTATTTGGAGAAATCTAAACAACTTATTCTTGAAGGTCCTTATAAAGAAATTCCCAAAGATCCGAGCACTAAAGAATTAAATGTTATAAAATCAACTATTAAATCCTCTATGTTAATTCCCAATAGACTTAAGGTTGTTTTGANTTATTTTCAGTCCCATTAATAAGATAAAATTTTCTAATCTCAAGCAGCCCATTGACAGTCAAAGTAGCTGGGGTATATACCAAATTAATTGCCAATGCGGCCTTTCATATATTGGCCAAACTAAGCGTGCCTTAAAGTGCCGTGTCAAGGAACATGAAGCTTATGTCAAAAAACAAGAATTTAAACGCTCATCTATTGCCCAACATTGTTGGGACTCTAATCATAATTTTAATTTTTCCTCTTCAAAAGTCATTCAAAATTGTTCCTCAATATATGATTTAGATTTTTATGAGTCTTATCATATTTTCAGAAATTCCAAACTGTTGGTCAATGACCTATGAAGTGTTCCTTAAATTTCTCCTGTTTGGAAATCTATGATAAAACCTAACTAACCCCCCCCCTTTTTGTTCCTTGCTTCCTATTCGTCGTCGTCCATTCACCCTTCCCTCCTATTGGCCGTTGGTCTAAATCCTCTTGTGACGTCATCTTTCTATATATATTTATTCTGTTCTCTTATTGTTTCCTGTTGCACTGATGAAGGTTGCCCTTTGAGCATCCGAAACAGCTGTCTGCTTTTAATAATATTTTTGTGCTCTTTAACGTTGTCTACCTTAGTTTGTATCCTATATCCTGTACTAATTTTAAAGTACATCATACTTTTTATAGTTGTTATATAAACTTGAATTCTTTTTTTTTATATTAACCTGACATATTAGGAATTTCTTCAGTAGGTATTAAATTGTTGTCTATCATTTTTATAAACAGTCTTCACAAAAATATATCTTTCTAATTAAATTGTACTATTTTTAAGATACAAGCCCATACAAAAGTTGGACCTGGTGGAAAAGCAACTCTGGAAAAAACTCTTCCTTTAGGAGGTAACTCTATAGATCTCTTTTTATAATTATGTGCTTTTTTCTTTTTTAATGTTGATGCATTTATTAAGATAAATAAATTGTATAGTGTAAGCTAAAACTATACTAAACTCAGTGGCGTATCTAGAGGGCCAGGCCTACTGTGCGCATCTCAGTTTTCTTGACCTTGGGCTCTGGGGTGCAGGAGTAGATGTTCTGGTTAGGTGGTCAGCCGAACGCGGAATCCCCAGTTTTTAGTTCCCAAGCATGTTCGGTACTCATTTATCGACCCACTGAAGGGTTAAAAGGCTGAGTCGACCTTGCCCGGCCTGAGGATCAAACCCAGGACCTGTGGCACGGAAGCTTGAAGCGCTACCACTCAGCCACCCGGCAGCGTATAGTGTAAGCGAAATTGTTAAATTCTAAACTATTATTTTCAAAACATTAGTTAATAAAATCTTAATAAATCATTTTAGAAAAACTGAAAATGTTTTTAACAATGTACATATTTTACGGATATTTAAGTGTAATGGCTTATTATTTGTAATAAGTCAACTTATCAAAATACATGATTTTAGTAAGATATCCTCTTTTTATATTTATAATCATACATTCAGTTGCACTTGATTTTGTTGTTAAAGTGTTTAAAAGAATTTTAGGTGAAAATGTTATCACAAAAACACTCACAAAAAGTGGAATAAATTTATAATAATTAAAGTTAAGCAAACTTTCTATTTGCTTTTTCCAATTGTTGTATACTTTACAAATAATCATATGTTAGGCAACACTGTCTAATCCAGTAATCAAAAATTAATCTATTAGAAATTTTCTGCAAGATTACTATGTTACCGCTAAATGAAATGTTAAGACTTATAAAAGAGAGTGAGGTACTACAATTCTAGTTAAATGCCTTACATATCATCTTTTTACTATGAATACTAAATTATTATTAATAAAATTAATTATTCATGTTGTTACATGTCTGTATTTAATTATTATTCTTTGCATTAAAATATCCACTTCAGTAAAGCCAATGCGTATAAAAATATGCACTTCTTGTTTTTATTTTTTATAAAATGTTATTATTGAAAGTAAAATAAAAAAGTTTTTGAGCTAAATAATCGTTTGTTTTTTATTTTATTTTAATTATCATTATTGTTTTTTAATGTTTAGTCACATTATATTGTTGAGAACATCTCCTAAATTGGTTAACCTTTGCCAATATTTTTAAATCCATTTTTTATATATTAAGATATTTAAGTGTACACTAACCCTTAAATTTCTCAATATATTAAAAAATGAATTTATTTCGCTTTGAAAAATAAGGACTGAAACTTCTGGCACAGAGTAAGAATGATTAAAGTTTAATTAAATATTTATATATTTGTGCTATGTGATTTTGTACTTGGTGTAACTAGTTCAAAGATTTTGTTAAGTAAAAACAACTTCTGTTAAAACTTCTTTTTTTAATCCAAACCAAGTTTTATTCTCAAGACTTGTTTCTTTTTAACAATTGATGACTCAAATTAAAGTTTAAGCTATTATTTCTACAGGCTTTGATTTTGATTATGGAACTGTAGAAAATTTCAGAAAATTACTTACGTGTTTTTTTCCCTTATAATTTGTAAATGATTCTAAATTTTAAAAGCCTGGTTTCTTGTAATGAATGCCTTGGCTTGGTGCTAACGTTATGCTAGTACTCCATGCTGACACCCCAAAGAGTGGTATGTTAGGACCTTGCTTTGATTGTTAGTGGAAGTCCTGAGATAAACAATGCAAAAAAGGTAGAAATTTTTTTTTCTTCTTACGGGCGAATCAGCTCTTCTCTTATAAGCAAACACATATTTTTAAGGAAACTATCACAATATAAAATAAATATACGTAGAAATGAGTTATGATCTTAGATTACTACATGAACCTGCCCAATCAAAAAAGGGAGATAGTGCTTTATTTTTACCTTTTGTTGTTGCAACTTGTAACATTTCTAGTCTTCACCACATTTCAATAATTGTACTGTGCGTTAATTTTTTATTAATCGTATATAGTTTATTAAATCAAATGTTGTTTTATTTATAAATAGAGTGAAAATATCTTTATCTTTAATTTTCTTTATATAATAAATTTAGATAAAAAAAATCATAATTTAATAATTAGAATCAAATTATTAAATAAATGTATTATTATTAAAATAAATGAATTTGAAAATGGTTACAGAAAATTTGTATTTTTCTTAATTTTAAAAATCTTTGAACATAAGTGTTAATTGCTTAAATATATTTTTGAAACATGGATTGATTATCTTTGAAGGATTGTAATTCTAGTGTTTAAAGATTTACATATTTTCCTTTTTAAATGTTCTCCAATGAAAATATATGTTGTTAAAAGAATTTTTTTAAGAATAACAGGTAAGAGTGAGCTAAAAAAATAATAAAACTATCTTTGTGCCAGGAAGAATAAAAAACTTAATGGAATTTTTTTTAAAAAAAAGCAGACAGCAGACGCAAAACTCTCGAATTTTTTTTTTTCTCACTAAAAAATGTCATATATATGTACTTGAAAATAAATATTACTGCTCTACTTTGTTATTTTTTTTAAATGTAATTTATATGGTTCTTATTAAACTTAGAAGTAATTAAATTATTACCTTGGAAAGCCAAAAGAATTTTTCCAGCGCTCTTCAACCGAAAAAAGTTATTGCATCTTTATCTTATATGAATTTAAACTTTATGATTCATATTTTATATGGATTTATAAGTCTAACATTTATTCTGACTTATTAAACATCTGCACGCTCTTATGTTATTTCAATTTTAAGATACTTTTTTAAAAAATTTCAAAATACATGTTTCGCTTTTCAACTTAAAGCAATTCTAATAGGGTAAATACGCCGAAGATTTATTACTATTATTAGTGAATATATCCTTTTTCTCGTTTTCTTGATGGCACAGGAAAACTACTCAATAATTACCAAGGGGTAAGTAACAAAAATATATTTAAATAGTTAACATGATCATTACGGTACAATGGTAGACATTACTACTACTACTTTACAATGTAGATGTTCTTGCTTTTTACAAAATCTTTGTTTGCAGTTACGGTTACAATCTAATGATAAACTCCGCCATCTATCGGTGGTTCAATAACAAGTATTTTTACAACATGTATTAGTAGTATGCGATTTGATATAAAACTTTTTCTATGATTTGCAATTATTATATTTGAATTTATTTTATACGGATACAAATGCATTTATTACGCATGGATAAATTTAATAATTTGTTTTTAAATTTATCTGAATTTATATTTCTTATACCTAAATTAAATATGACTGTAAATCTTTATAAAATTGAATCTTTTTATTTTACTTGTAATGGCATGTATGAATATAAATACTAATACATAAAGTAACGTAGAAGATTAAATATTTGGATACTTTTGATAGCTCCCCCGGCTCCTGCTAGTAATGTGTTCCCTATTAGCGTTGGTAAATCCTCAACTACAGCAAGAATTCAATTTAGGAAGAATTTCTTTTCTCATAGTCATGGACCAATAACAAGTTATACCATAATTGTTGCAGAAGATGATGGTATTGATTCAAAGCAACAAAAAATGCCAACCTGGAATGATGTCCAAAAGTATTCTAGGTGGCCTCCGTACCAGGTTTGTTTGCAAGTTTCTTATATTTTTACATTTGCCTGCAACTAAATTTTACTCTTGTTTCGTTAAAAAATTCTGAAGTCATGAAGGATATTTTTCAATTCAATTATGTATCAGATGTGTTAATGATACAAATTCTTATACTTTCCTATTCTGATAAATGTTGTACACAATCATGCTTGCGTGTAACAATTATTGAATAATTGTTTTGTACTGAATCAACCAATGTTCATAAAAATCTGTCCAGTAATTCAAGACATGATCAACGAAAGAATTTGTTAGTTATAGATTTAAATTTTTGAAAAGGTGTTATTTTTCCTGGTTTTATTTATTATTAATTACTCATAATTAGAAATTAAAACAAAGGTATTTGGATACTTAAAAGTTTCAACTTGATAGAACTTAAAAGCTCCTTCAATACCTTTAATAAGTGAAATTTGCAATTTACTGTCAAGGCTACAGCAATTTTTGTAGATAACGTTGGTCTCAATAAAAAGGTCAATTTACTAGTGTTTCATGTAATGAGAAAGTAGACACCACCAGTTTGAAAAGTGCTTTTGTGGCAATTATGGCTCTGTGGCATATGTGTTTGTTCCATGGCTTCTTGGCATACAGACACAATTATGTCAACTGACAATCCACATAAATTACTTAACTACAAAGGAGATATCCTTTATCAGTTATGCATTTTCTTCTTTTTAAATACTTTTGTTTAACAAATCAGAGCTTATGATTCTTATTTTACAATGAACATATATTTTAATTGAGAAAAGATTTTTGAAACATCCAGCTTTTAAAAAAATATTAAACATGCTTCTTAGTAGTTTTTATTGTGCTTGCACAACACAAAGCATTTTTTTTTCTAGTACCATAATTTAAATAGCTTATTTTCATTTAATTATTGTTTAAGAAAAGAAAAAAGCTGCCTGTTTCAATGACAAACTGTTTTTTTCACTTAAGACAGAAATATTTTGCCTTAACTTTTTACTTAGAATAGATATTATTATTTAGAATAGATAACTTTACCTATTTATTACTTGTTTATTAGTATTTTTTTTCTATTATTTTTATCTGTGATACAGCAATCTAAAAAATAATTATTTTTTTTGTTTTTTCATTGTTTAAGGGGGAAATACCATATCAGAAGTTTTATCAGTATGAAACTATAAAAGAAGCAGATAAATTTGGTTTCTGTAAAATTTTAAACAAAACTAATAAAGTTGTATTCAAACTTTCTGTAAGATTTGTTTTCACAAATTAATCTCAAACTTTTTGGTTTTCCTGTATTATAATTACATTATTGTACCTTTTTCTCTTCATCATAATGGAAAAAATATTGATTTTGAAAGTTTTTCTTTTTTTTCACCCTAGGAATAGATGAAACAAAATTGACATTTGTCTTATTATTATTGTTATAGATGAAATAATGTAAGAGATACTTAATATAAATGATGTTTCAGATAGTAAAATGTTTCTTTCATTTTTGGGAGAAAACAGGTAAAAATGGGTCTTATCTAATTTTTTACTGAGCAACACGGCATAGTTGCTTTTGGCTCTTCAACCATTGAATTTCATTTCTAATTCTATATTGAAGAAAAGACATTTTCTTTGTTATAGCTATGGAGATTATCTTAAATTGCTGGTTTGTCAGTGTAGAAATTACTTTCTTTTAAACATGGGTTAGTGGTAGTATTGCTAGTCTAAGTATTTTTCTATTAGTCGAAAAATATTTGTTCATATTGTATAAAACTTATCTAATAGGTATGTTTGTTATCTTATAAAATGGATAGATTATAACACTTTACATAAAGCTTTAAATGTATCAGTCTTCCATCATTTGCTCATAATAAATAACAGTAAAATTTTCATAATGAAACTTATAAAGAAAGTAAGACATTAACTTTAATTAAATAAAAAATACTAATGTCTATCAAAATTTACTTCTGTTAATCTGTGTTTGTCCTATTTTAGGTTTCAGATCCGTTTTATCCATTTAATGGTACATCTTCAGTTGAATTCACCATTGGAATGGATGATTGCACTGATGTTAAAGGGTATTGCAATGGACCACTAAAGCCTGGAACCAACTACAAAGTTAAAGTTCGAGCTTTCACTGCTCCTGAGAAATTTACTGACACTGTTTACTCTTATTCTTTTCAAACTGGTTAGTCAAAACTAAAATGTTTTACAGTTGCTTGCTAGGTGTTTAAGAAAAAGTTTTTTTCTCATAGAATTTATAAAAAAATTCTATGTTGTAAGTAGTTTTAAAAAAAGTCTATTTCTTTACTAAAATTGACTTGTTAAAATTCTTAAATTATCTTTATTTTTTCTGTTATCATTATCTTAAGATTATTTTAGTGGTTAAAGTAAGTTACTTATAATTACTATTTCAAATAAATTTAAAACCCTAATGTAAATAAATAAATATTTTGTTCAATTAAAAATTTGTGTCCAAAAAGAATATCCAACTTATTGCAATGCATAAACAATATTTATACATAATACATGACTAATACATAATCTTTCTCATATGTTTTTGAATGCAAACTATGTTTTCCTTATTTAAAATTCCTTAAAAGTTTAAAATTATTGAAATGTGAAATTAAAGTAAACTAAATTATTTATTTTCCTATCTGATGTTAGAAATTAAACCAAAAGATTTGCAGCTTTTTATTTTTTTTAAAATTGTTTTTCTTTCTGAAATGCAAAGAGTTAGTAGATTTTTGTTTTTTAAATTCACTTTAAATTGTAAATAAATTTGAAACTGGTTTCTGATTTTTAAAAGAACAGCTTGCTATAAATAGTTTGGAAATGTACAAACACATTGTTTTTCTTCTTAATTTCAGCGTTTGAGTCAAGGCTAGTAAAAAACATTCTTATTATAGTTTATTGTTCTAGAAATTTAAGTTCGTTGTATTTTTGCACAGATATTATTATTTTATGCACTTTATTTTGATATCAAGTTACTTGTTATAATTTAATATGCATAATTTTTTTCTTTTTTTTTTCTTTACAGATACAGATAATACAGCTATGCTTGCTGGAATCACTGTTCCAATAATTCTAATTGTTCTTCTCATTGTTATAATAGTAGTGATAAGACGAAAGCGCAGACATGGCCCTTTTGCAAAAAAAGTTTCCGACGGACATATTAAAGATGATTCTATGTCGATACCAGAGAGTGAAATTATAACTAAGTAAAATTAATGGTCCTATTTAAAGCTTTTCTTCTTTATATTTTTCATATAAAAATAACTATTTTAATACATATTTTTACATCTTTTTTAGTCGACCTGTGAAGTTGAAAGATTTTGCAGATCATTATCGCTTTCTCTCAGCTGATTCAGATTTTAGATTTTCGGAAGAATTTGAATTGCTTAAACATGTTGGACGGGATAAACCTTGTAATGCTGCAGATCTCCCTGTTAATCGGCCAAAAAATAGATTTACCAACATTCTTCCATATGATCATTCTCGAGTTAAGCTTATGCCATCGGATGATGAGGAAGGATCAGATTATATAAATGCTAATTATATCCCGGTAAATATCTCAGCCATAATTCTTAAAAATGTTTGAAAACTCTGTAATTACCTTAAAATACTGATAGAACACCCTGACTTGTGAAAACGCCTCCTGTAGTTTCACACAAATGCTGATTATCAATCAGTACCAAATTTTAAGGTGGGGATGGAGATTGGACAATTGAATTCGAAAGATTGAGTTAAGAAAAGAAAGCCTGTTTTTGTGTCCTAACAGGGGAAGAAAAATGTGAATGGAAAGGGGAAAATTTGAATGAAAGAGATATGGAGAGCACATGATCATATTTTTATTTTTTCACCTATTTGCTTGTCTCGCAATCATACCAAGATTTAAAAATAGAGAATTGCTGTAGAAGTTAGATTTACTAAGCTCATAGAATAAAAAGCTGATAGATTATAATTTTATCACATAATTTTTCTCTAGATTCAACTGTATTCTCACTATATTGATTAGGTTCATCTGCAAAATTTAAAAATTATTCCTTGGTCTTAAAGATTTCCATTGAGAAGAAATAGTCTTGTCATATTTTTTTTTAATATATAATATTGGAAATAAAGCTCTATTTCTAGGTCTAATTAACTATTTTCTTTAAGACAGTACACTTACTTTCCAACAAATTTTTTCTGAATCAACTGTTTACAAAGTGATGATTTCAATGATGCGGGTAATTAATCTCTGAACATGCTTCTTTTCTTTAAATTTATCACTTGGAAGAGGAAATAAAATACTTTAAAGCAGGAACTTTATTAAAGTTTTTCGATTATGTCTGCTATTTTATTTTTTCATTTCTCCTTGTCCCAAACATAAGAATCCCTCCTGTTATGTGTGTGAAAGCGGGGCGCCGCATGACATCTGAGATGAGTTATTTTTTCTTATTGATTTGTGTTTTGTGCTTTTTCGGACAAGGTAAGAAAGTTCAGAGATTCATGGGTCTTAAGATTTGCAGAGCAGTATTATAGTTATCATTTTTCCATAATACAGTACAGAACCCGTTATCCGGAAATCAGAAAACCAAAAAACCAGAACGAAATTCGATTAGTTTTCCCGCCATTTTTAAAAAAAATAATTTTTTTCCTCATATGATTTCAGGATTTTTCGTTCTTTTTTTTAAAGATGTTTACCTCACCATCATTTTGGAAATAATCATTAGTGTATTACTTCATCGTTTTTTCTTCTTTTTAAGATTATTTTGAATTTTTTTTTTTTTTTAGTTGGGTTTAACTATAAAAAAACGACTTTTTGTAGTGATTCAGAAAACCGGAAAAATCAGTTATCCGGAATATCGATGGTCCCGATCGTTCCGGATAATCGGTTCCCTACTGTACCTTTCTAGATGAAATGTCAATTAATTTGAAATTCCAATTATGTACAAATTATACAAAATTAGGAAAATTTTAATTTTTTAATGGTTTTGAAAGCAGTAAAAATGTAACTAGTGATAAAATTTATTACAATCTTTTTCAATAATAAGGTTCGAAACATCTGAAGTACAATACTTTTATCCCAAAATAATACTTTTTTTATGGATTTATCAATATTGCAGTATGTTTATAAATTTATTTTTATTTTAATCCATTGTAGATTATGCTACAGATATTTTGAATTTTCAAAAAATATTTTAAGCATGCCTAGGAGTCAAAAAAAATTAATGAATACTATGAACGGAAAAAGTACAGCATCACCTTAAAACTTGCTTAACACCTAAACTTCATATTTTGTTCAAATTTTTCTTCTGTGATGATAAGGTTTACTAAAGTAGCTTTGATACCACTGCTTTTATTTTAAATTATTTGTCCCTTGTGTATTATTGAAATTAAAAAAGATCAGATGGTTTTATCAAAGAACTAATAAAGTGTTAAAAATCATTTATCTATTTATCGAATAGTTTTGAATTAAGCTTTTACAACCACTCTTTCCTCTGAACAAATGTATTTTATGTACTAAAGTATCTCTAAGCAAGCTGTTAGTTAAAAAGTATTGATTTGTTTTTTTTTCTTTTTCGAAAATATTGGAGAGTAAAAAAATAATACTGTGTAAATAAATTAAACAAATGCGAAACAAAAATGTCTCCAATACGAAATTATATCTAGTATGCTTTAGAACTAAATTTTTTAAAAAAATTATGTATTAATAATAAATAATTCTATGTAATCAATAGTTTATGTCTCAGTTGTTTTCTTATTTGTTTACATCCACTTGCAGGATAGTTTTAAAAGTATAAATTAGGATTTTAGAGTGAATAACACTGAGGAACAAATATTTTCTTTCATTTATACAAATACTTGATCTTGCCTAATTTGAGTGTGGAGATTTCAAATCTGAAATTAGTTTTGATCCTAAAGCTACAGATTTTTTTAAGAATGACATTTTCAGTCCATTGTAGGCTGAGATGTAAGAGTTTAAAAATGTTATATATAACAGGGTGTCACTTAAATGTTGCGACAAATTTTTAGGGATTTAGGGCACATCAGCGGGTTTAAAATTGCATAAGAACGTACACCAAAATTTTGGTATTTACATCTAGGGATGTTACCCTATTATGACCTGTTCAGAAAAAGTTCATAATAGGGAGACACATTTTCTAATGCTCAAATTTATTTTTGGGCATGGGTTCTTATGCATTTTCGTTCCTGATGTTATAACCTAGCTTCCCTAGAAGTTAGTCGTAACATTTGTGCGATTCCCTGTTATATATAACGTTTTTAAACTTGTTCATTTCAACCAACAATGGACTGAAAATGTAAATTAAAAATATGCAGTTTGGAAAGAGAAATCAATTTCATATTTTGCAAATCAGCAATGCAAAAATTTCCAAGATTCCTTCAAAAATCTTATGTTACAGAAATTTTTTTTTCTCTAGTATAAAGATTAATATGAGTTTTAAGGAAGAGAAGCAAATGCAAAAGGTTCATTTATGAAGTAAATAAAGCAATCCCAGTTCTTAAAATAGATAAAATAACTTCTCTGTGAAAAGTATATCTAAAGTCCTCTTTTAACATATTTTTCTTTGGAACCAAATACAGCAAAGTAACGGACAACATTTTAATTTTTTTTTTAAATTCATGCATTAATTTTCTTCTATTGAAATACCATAATAGGTAGATTATTTCTCCCTCAAATTGGCCACCTATCATGTAGTTTTATTGAAATACTTTCTCTACCCACTTTTGTGGTTCTATGAATTTTTGTTCAATGTATGTTTTGGGAGATATTTGTATCTTTACAATATATTTTAGTATCCAATTATTTTAGATACAGCTTAATATTAAATATTTGGGAGCATGTAATCCCTTTTAACTGTAACCCAAAAATAGATATTTTGCAAACTTTTTTTTTTATCAAACACTCAAGCCATACTTTTGTTGACAAAACCATCATACAATTTTGCATTTTATTAAAAAATAGTTATAAATGACTGCTATTCATGTTCATATATAGATCAAATAATTTCATATAAAGTGTGCAATTCTCAAATCTATTTTTTGTGTCATCAGACATTGTTTTTTAATGCAATGTATCCAGGAATTACGCTTTTTAATTTAAGTCATGACTTTTCTGCCCTCAGTTTTATTTGTGTCTGAATTATTTCATTACACATTCTTCATTTGATGTGCTTCTCTGTTATTAGGCTATCTTTCTCAATAGATAGATTTAATCTTTTTTAATTAAATTATTTTGCTCAAACCTACCCTGAAGTTAAAAGAAGATGATCGTTGGATTTGAGCAAATGAAACAAATATCTCTTAATTAAAGCAGGGAAAAGAAACCTGTTTTCCCCATCTCATCTTTGAAAAAATTTACAATATGGGATTCCGATGCAAATGATTCAGAAATTGTAATGATTTTTGTAATAACTGAGTGTGTTTTTACAAACAAACATAGACAAAGGAAGTTTGAAAAATACAGTATTAATAATACTATTATTAGAGTTTTTATAGTTTTTTTATATAGTGTGTTTCAATTTTTGTGTTTTAATTTATGTTTAACTATATTTGATTAAATATTTATATTTCTTTTAGGGTTATAATTCACCTAGGGAGTTTATTGTAACTCAGGGTCCTTTACATAGTACAAGAGATGATTTCTGGCGCATGATTTGGGAGCAAAACTGTCGTGCTATTGTGATGCTGACTAGATGTGTAGAGAAGGGAAGAGAAAAGTGTGACCATTACTGGCCTTATGATACTCAACCTGCTTACTATGGGGATATACAAGTCACTATTTTGAATGAATCTCAATACTCAAAATGGACTATATCCGAATTTAAAGTTTCTCGGGTAATATTATATTTCACTATAAATCTTTATTGCTATACTTGTATTCCTCTGATTATAAAAGATTTAACAAATTTTTATTTATTTAAAATATCCCTTTATTATTTTCATAAGTAATATTTCTAAAAAAAATTTCCCTTGGACGAATTTTTAATAGATACATTTATCTAACTTTTATAGGGTGATCAATCTCGAATAGTAAGACATTATCATTTCACAACTTGGCCAGATTTTGGAGTTCCAGATCCACCACAAACACTTGTAAAATTTGTGCGTACTTTTCGGGATAGAATACCCCCTGATAATAAACCAGTTGTTGTTCACTGCAGGTACTAATTTATTTTTAATTGCTCTTAAAATATGAAGAAATTTGTATGTATCAGAATCTCAATTATCTGAAGTACTCAGAGAATGTGTCTTAACTTCAACATTTCCTCTTTTCCTGGATATAACTCCATCACTCTAGCTAAAGGCCATATTTCCTTTCGTTTGTTGTCAAACTCTATAAGAACAATATCCCTGACTTTAAGTTGTTCTGATATTGATGTTGTTGATGGGCACTAAACAAATAGATTGAGGTTTTCTAATCTAAATCTGTCTCAGTCTCTTGTTGGAATCAATTGTATCTGGGTGATATAAGTCAGGTACTTTAAAAACTAGAATTTTAGCTAAAAACATAGACAGTGTCAAAGGAATGAAATATCTGAATTTTCTCCTACGTAAGGGAGAGGTCTTCTGATCACAGTCTTGCAATATACACTTAAACTCTTCATAGTCCAGAGATAACTGTCTTAAAGTTCATCGCTAAAGGTTTTTAATCATCTGCACAAGATGTTTCCAAAAACCACCTCACCACGGTGCAGTGCCTGGTCTGAATTTCCACTAGATCTTGTTAATAGGGATTTTTATCTCGATAACTTTATAATCAATTGTCTTCAAGAGATTGTTGGCATTGTCGAAATTGTGATAAATCTTCTTAAGTCAAGTAGAAAACCTTGAGTAGATAGAGACAAAATCAGTTCCTAATGAACTAATAAATGAAACAATTTCACATCTATAAATACATCAACATTTTTATTGTCGAATTCTATTTATCTAGAAAAATACAGTTTCTAACCTACAAATGCATAAAGTAATTCTTAAATATGTGTGACACTTGAGACTAGCTTATAACAGAAGTATTATGCAAAAGGAGTTTTGATAATTAAATTTCTACTGTAACGTTCTCATATAATTTATAGCGTATTATATTTGTTTCATTTTCAGATAATTCTGTAAAGACCAATTTAAAATATATATTTTTAAAATCTTTGTCAAAAATAAAGACTAGTATGTAGATAGGTGGTTGTAAGTTAATATTTGAGCAAGGAAAAAAAACGCAATTGAGAAAAGTTGGGTATGCAAAGCAGGTTTGATTGCCAGCTGAAACTTGAAGGTGTAACTAAATAATTTTCAACTCTGCCAATCAAACCTGTTGGTATTTTGCACTGCTACTTTCCTCAATTGTGATTCATCAGATTACAATAGCTTTTTTCCCCTTATTTAAATATTAATTCTCGACCCCAAATAAGCATGCTTTTTTACTACATTTTTGATAAAGATTCAAAAAATATAAATTGGGATCCTGTATTTATTTTTAAAAATGATGTATAACTAAATAAAACTTGTCTATTTTAGTGCTGGTGTTGGCAGATCAGGCACTTTCATTGCACTAGATCATATTCTTCAAAAAATTCAAAAGCATGATTATGTAGATATTTTTTCAATTGTATATGAAATGAGGAAAGAAAGAGTGTGGATGGTTCAAAATGAAGTGAGTGGTTTTTGTACCAAGTTATTTTAATCTATCTGAATAGCCGAGAAAAAAATATTATGAAGTGATAATTTGAATTTTTTACCTTAAAGAAAAGTGAAACTATAAAATATATCAAATGAAATGCTTTTTTAGTTAACATGCAGGATTAGTCAAAATCTTGTTTTTTTTTATTTATTTATTTATTTATTTATTTATTTTTTTTTTTTTTTGAAAAACAAAATTAAATCTGTTTTTTTAACTTATTTATTTGATTTTTTCCTATTTTCACATTAAATTGCTGATCAAATATATTAATAACACTTTATATTATCTAATAACAATACTAAAACTAAAATACTTATCTAGAAGTGCTTTTTAAAAGTAAAACAACAACATGACAACCTAGGATTTGTCAACGCCTTCCTTTGACAAGTTTTTTTAAATGTGACAATTGTTCTCCAATTCTTAACCTTTAGGATTCCAAAATCTATCTCAACTTACAGTTTTAAGTTTTCTTCTTCATCGGTGTAGCTTTGCTAAAACTACCCTATTGAAATTATTATTATTAATTTATCATTACAAACTAATTACTGAACAAATGAAATCAATTATTTTTGTTCAAGCTGAAACCCTTTTGATTTGTCACTTAAATATCAAATGAAAAGAAATTTTAAACCAGAAAACATTAAAAATAAAAACATCAATTATTCCAAGTTACCCTGCACATCAAGTCTTTTATTATTATTATTTAAGTACATTAACTACTTATAAGTTTTAATAACATGAAATTAAAAGAAGAGATTTAAATTTGTTTATTGATAACTTTACAGAAAATTGTTTTTAATATTTTTTAGAACTTTCCGATTATTTCTTTAAGCATATAGAGTTAAAGATGATTTATCAAAGGCATTAAGAACAGAATACTAACTATTTTACAAATGCTGCTTAAAATAAGTGGCAATATAGGAACGTGTTAAGTATTAAGGTGATAAAGTTGTTAGTTGTAATATAAAACAGCTACTAAAAAATCTTCCAAACTTTTAACTCTATATCCTTTATTCAAACCTATATTATTTTTTTTAATGTTAAATGCATGCATTTTCTTTAAAAAAGAGCTTTTTTGTTTCATATTTTGACTTTTCTATGTGTTCATTTTCAGCAACAATATATATGTATTCATCAATGCTTAATGTGTGTTTTGGAGGGTAATGAAGATATGGACCCTATGCGACAAGAAGTCCATGAAAACCAAGGATATGAAGGTAAAACTTGATATTTTTACTTATCCTTAAAAACAGTGAATCAAAGAACATATTTTGCTACCTAATCATTATCATACTCAATTTAGAACTCATATGCAATCCCATTAATATAGGGGTGACAATTGGCTACTCGTAGTCCCTCGTGTTGTTCTTGCTAAATGACTTCGTTTGTTTTTTTCTTGCTGTCACGTTTTCGAATACCACAAATTTTAAAACAAAATGGTTCTTAGAACTCAGGCAATTGAATTTGTAATTCCAGTTAAAAAATTCTGTTTTGAAATGTTGGTGAACTTATTTTGGACAAATTTTCTGAATTCGTGTAGTACCTAATGTGTGGTACCTCAACAGAAATTATAGAATATTTTAGCTTTCAAGGTTATCAATTCTTCACTTTGAAACTCTTTCATCAGATTGCTTCAGGCATCATAATTTATGTCAAAAATTCTTTAATGGCAACAACTAAGATTACCCATGAAATGTCTGTAACAGACAAATTTAAAAGCTTTAAAATTATGAGTCTGGAAGTGTTCTTTGTGTATTCACATCATTTTTCCGTTATAACCCTCCATGAAATAAACCAAACTTTCATTGTTTCCTCTTTAATTGGAATTCCCACTAATTAATTCTGGGTGATTTTAATGCTCACTCTGAAAGATGCACCTATCCCAGAAATTTCCCTGATTGAAACATAGTAGACTTTATTAACTTAGGTCCAATGCAATATATTCCTAACCTTCACAGGAAAACTACTTTTCTTTCTTATGCAGGTGGGACTTCTTCTCCAGACTTGTTAATTGTACATACAAACTTGGTCATCTTGGCCCAAAAAAATGCTGGGTATAATATACTTTTAGCTGAAATCAAACCTAAATTACATCACTCTAAGATAAGACAAACTCGTTGGAATGTTAAAATATCTGATTGGAAAATGTATGCTCACCTAACTGTAGTTATTTCTTCCCATGCCTTGGATAATGAATCCACAGAAAGAATTCTCAACTAAATCATGATTACTCTCCATGAATGTGCTTTGCTCTGTATCCTAAGATTTGGAGTGATAAACTAAAAGACTTCAAGATAGTACACTGTCTTGCTTCAGTTCTTTCTATCACCACAAATGCAATGGAGCATAACGTAGAACTATGAAGAAGAAAAAGCATGCTGACCTAAATAAAGAAACTTTAAACTCTTAAATGTTCTGCTCATTTAATTTTTTTTTACAAGGCATGTCTTCAGATGTGACAGAATAAGAGCTCACCAATTTCTGTCAAAATTAAATAGGCAAAAAGTAAAACAAACTCAACCATTAATTTTTAAGGGAGAAACACTCTCTTGTTTTAGAAATATAAATGCTTTTAATGAACAATATAGTGGGATCTGTAATTTTTATACACAGAGATGAATCACCTTTAGAGAATTATATTTCACTCCTACCTCTCTAATTCAAGAAATAGGCTATTTTTAATTCAACTTTTTCCCTCTGATTTGCAGAGTGCCTGATCATCTAATGAAAAGTAAATTTGCAACCCCTGATGAACATTTACCAATTTTTCTTTTATTTATCTTTGCCCTCAAGGCAAAAATGCTGTTCTGTATCTTATGAAAAAAACACGGGACCCAGACACTTTCACTTTTTGACATTTTTTTAAATTTCTCAATAAATACTCAGGATTATTTTTTAACTTTAAAGTTGTTTAGTTAATGGGGTTTTTCCTACTTTAAAATAAGGTTTAAAGCTTCCTGACGTTTGAGGGGTCGACAATAAATTACAAAAGAAAACTAGAATTTTTAAACACCCTATGACAGAAAATCAGGCAATAAGCTTGTATCTATTACTTTGATTGTTATTTGAAACAATTGCATAAAATTTTGTAATTCTAGCTTAAATATTTATAGAGGTATGGACTTTTTTATAAAAAAACTTATTTTCTTGTCTTAAGTTTTTTTTTCTATAACTTTAAAAATATTCAGTAAAATTAAACAATATTTTAATTAATAAATTAAAGTATGAAAAATCTCTTGGACTAAACAACTCAAAAATTACAAAATAATCCTCTGAGTATTTCTTGAGAAATATAAAAAAATTTCAAAAAGTAGAGATGTCTCTTCCATTATTGTAGGGTGGTGTATATTGCAAGAAAAAGTAGAAAATGAAATTTAGTATAAATTTTATTGATAAAAAAAGCTACATCATCATAAAAGAATTATGTTATTGACTGTTTTATAGATTACTTATTTTGTCTTAAGAATTTGTTAATATTGTAGTTGTTAATATTTATATTCATTTATATGTATTTGGAAATTAAATATCTACGTGAAAAAGTACAGATTATTTGATTTTGTTTTGCCAAGTGTCTATTTCAGCATTGTAGAAAAATTAAAAACTCTACAACAGAATGTTTAAACAAAAAATAACTGAAAAGAAGGAACATTCATTAATGGGTTAGCTTTGATTTTGGAAAAATTATTATTATTATTCCCATTATATCTTAAAATGATCAATCTGAAGTTTTAAGTGTAAAAAAATATTAAAGTACTGAAATTATGAATTTATATGTGTATTTTCTGAAACAGAATCAAAAATATAATCAAAACTGTATACCAAGTGAAGACTTTTTTTTTTCTTCATATCTTTAAGCTATAATTTTTAGTTCACAGTACTCTTTTTCAATCATTTATTCCAAATTTAAAAACTTTTTTTTGTTATTTTAATTCCTGAAATGTTTTAAAATTTTTGTTTTTAATATATATTTTTCAGATGATGAAGGAATTGCAGAATCTGGTATTTGACAATGTAATTAAGCTTAGGATATGTTTCATGAAATTTACTGTAAAAGTAAATATAGATTAATGTATACTTATGAAAGTGTATATTTAGTAATTTCTATGAAATATGTAGATTGTATATTCAGGGATTGATTTTGTTGTTAAGTATAGTAATTTATTTAGGACGAAACAAATTGCAGAATCTCATTTTTTAACAAATCTAGAACTACTATATTGATAGCTCTTACAAATTTTATTTGTATACAAAGACTGCATGTCTATGCATGTTTGTACTTTATTAAACAATCTTATAACACAGGCAATTTTTTGCCTGAATTACACTATTTTGCTATTAATTTATTTACACTTTTAAAATTATATGAAAAACCTAGATTGTATGTTCTAAGATTTATATATTTTTTTTTAATTTTTGTCTTTTGTTCTAACTCTGATATTAAAATTCTGCTGGAACAGAACATTTAGAATAAGCTATGTTTTTATCAAGTGTATGTACATGTTTTAAACTTTACACTTTATTGATCCTTTTAATGAAAAATACTTTAAACTCTGTTTAAATTTCACAATACGATTTTAATACTTAATTTTGTACAGATTAAATGTATTTTTAAGAAAATTTGTCTTGATTCTCTTTCTTTAAGTGTGAACAACTGATAAAAAGACACACATACATGAAAAATGGGGTAGTACATATTTGCTTATATTAAATGGTTATGTTCTCTTTCTATACCTAACACTTAAGTATTAAATAGCACTGTGCTGTGACTTAAAATACAGATTTAATTATTACTGTTATGTTTCTGAGAGAACTATTTTGTTTCTGCAAAATAAATCCTATTAATGAAGCATTTGTGCTACCATTCATTTATTTATTTTTTGGAGAAAAGTAACCCTTCTTTTAAAAAGACACTAGATATCAGTCTATTAAAATGATTTTATTTAATAAAAATGTTTTACTCTTTTTCCCATTACTAAAAGGTTCTTTTTTTCCTAAATATGTATTAGCTTTTAATTATTATATTAAGATCTACTGACGTTTTTTATTTTCAGTATTAATTTAACAGTAGCATAGTTATAGTAAAAAAAGGTCTAGTTTGTTCATATTTCTGAAATTCTTTTAAAGGTATAATATATGATTAATAACGATTTATGATTGTATAACTAGAAGTGTAACAAAATTTTAAATGAAAAAACTACTAAAGCTCCACAATGGTCTAAATTTAAATTTCCTCTTGAATACCAGAAAAAAGAATTGTCATTTGAAAATTAGCTAAAGCTTTTCATATAAAAATTGCAGAATTGAGTGATCTAAATTTTCTGTTTCAATATATCTATTAATATGTGATGTCTACTATAAATGTGATTTTTTTTAAAGTCAAGGGGAAGTTAAATTATTTAGCTTTTACTGTTAATTTAAACTATTCACCTAAGTCAAGGGCAAGGGGTGTTGCTTTAAACAAAGAAGTTCCTGAGTTTTAGGGCTCTCTTCTCCAATATGATGAGTGAGAAAGGAAAAAATAACTGGAGATGTTGATCTAACAACACCGAAGTCAGTAAGCGGGTGGCTGACTACTTTGATCAGCCTAGGTAGGGACCCATGGTGTGCAGTATCAGTCCTCGTCAAGCTGTTCTACCGTAAAGTGCTAGACTTCCTGCTCTTTTGAAGCAGAGGATCAAAATTGTGATAGCATCTCTTCGGATCATCCTTAGAGATATTTCCCAGACCATCGCCAATAGCCCATTATGTGCAGTGGCGGTTTAGGGGATAGAGCGTTCGCCTTCCAATAAGGTGAACGAGTTCGACTCCCAATGATGGCTGGTTGATACAAATTCCCCACTCGGCTCGAACCAGCCACGTAAGAGCTGGGAACTTAAGTTACTAAAATATCCTCAGTGGTAGACGGATCATGTGTTTAGAGTCCCCTTGACGTCAGGCTAACCGCGAGATGTTTCCGTGGTTTTCCTCTCGATGTAACGCAAATGTGGGTTAGTTCCATCAAAAGTCTAAGAAGACAAATTTCTCCCAATAGTTGATCCAGGAGTTCCCTTGTCTTCTGGATTGGGTCTAAAATTACAAGGCTAATGAAATGAACATTGGTAGTCATAAACCCAAAAATTGGGTCGGCTGTGCAATGACGGTCATACAATAAGATAGCCCATTGTGCAGCTCTAGTGCAATGTAAATCAAGTTCTTACCTACCTGCTTATAAACTAAAACACTTTCCAGAATGAAGATTTTTGCAAGAACAGAAACCCTTGCTAACATAGATAAACGCAGTTCACAACTTTTTTTTTAGATAATTTTTTGACGTGCGGGATTTATTTGAAACTTGTTTTATCTTAAAAAGATTGTTTTATCTTAAAAAGATTTATGTAAGTTTTGTCTGAACAGGCTTCTCGGATGACCACATNACAAGGGCACCGGCAGAATAATATAAAAGGGGGTGCAACCCTCTAACAAACTACCCCCCCCCAAAAAAAAAAAAAATTTTTTTTAAATATTCTGTTATGACATTTTGTTTTGGTATTACATATATTTTCATTTGTTAATTTTTTCAATATACATTTGTTCATTGTTAACAAGATATTTTTCAAAAAAGTACGAATTTGGTGTACTTGCAAATTTTGCCAAGAGAAACTGCATTGATGGCGTTGGTATAGCTACTGACTTTGAAACGAAAATAACTACAAACAATAGTTTCGTATACTAATGTGTTTGCGCACGATTAACATTGGTATTTATTGTGTTGATGAAGTTTCACAGTTGTGAGAAGTCAGTTTGTGTTATACACCTTTGTTAAACTAAATAACTAATAGAAAATATAATATTTCTTATATTTTATGAAATGAAATTTAAAAATATAGCTTAGATATCTATCAAGTTTGTGCATGCTCAGTGTGCATAAGAAAAGAATCAAAGATGACTCATTGAAAAAGTTATAAACTGATTTGGACAGCAAACAAGACGATTACAGTTCTTATTTGATTAAAAAAATTTTTAATTGTTATGCATCAATAATTACTAAATTATTTTTTTTCAATAAAAATATGTTTAATAAAAAAATTTATTAAAAATTTTTTTTTCTGTATCTCTTTAATTGTTTAAAAAAAGGCAGGGGGGTGCAAGTGCACCCCGCTGCCGGCGCCCTTGCCTGCATATCATTAAAAAAGTCTAAAGGCAGAGGCGTAGCTAGCATCTAAACTTAGTTTTTGCGCCCCTTTGCAATAAGAACTCAGATTTTGGCACAGTTTCAAGTTTTAGATTACGTAAAAACTAATTCTCCTCTTACATATAATTCTTGACATGTTAAATATAACATTGAATGAAATTTTAAATAATGTTATGTGAAACAATATAACTTGATAACTTAATAAATTTTCCCTCCATTTCTTTTTTAAATTTAACAGTGTATATTAACATAGTTTCGATTACGTTTAGATGTTTAAATCGTGCTTATGTTTTTAGACTAATTAATCGAATAGCATTTATAAGGACGTTTTTCATTCAATATGTCACCAATTTGGCGAAAAATAAAAAAAAAGAATACAATAATAATTGACCCCCTTTACGATTTTTAAGTAAATCAGATAAATATTTGAAAAAAGTAATGCGCTCCATAATTAGCAAATGAAACTGAGGGTATTAAAGAGATATTAAAACATTTTTTCTGGAATTCCTTTTTGTTAAATTTGGCGCCCTTCTAAAGCAGTGTCAGTGGACTAATGTCCCCTGTCGTCCTCCACTAGCTGTGTACTCTATTTCTGTGAGTATATAGATAGACCCTACATTCGCTTTATACGGGAGACTTCACTTAGAGAGATCAACTTGCCATCTGAAATCTAAAGAGTTTCAATGTATGGATTGCAGATCTCATGGCATCAAATGTCATTCGGAAGAGCAACTCTCAATCCCTGGAAAAGGCTTGAAATATGGTGTGAGGCTTGTTAAGAATGTATTATTTTATTGAATTTCATATTTATGATGTTATTCAAAAATGAAACTATGTATTGCACTCATTACTCAAAGAATTTTATTTATTAGTTTCAGAAATATTACTTTTCAATTGATAGGTGAGTTTTTAATTTCATTCTGTATTATAATCATCATGTATGCAGTAAGTATTTTGAGAACAACATTTTTTGCCCTTTAGAATTTCACAGGAAAAGCTTTGAAACAAAATTATTTTGAATGACTAATTTCAGAAATTGTATTAATGTTTGAAGTATAGGTGGATTATCTTTTGTCTCATTAATGTTGAGTTTTGACACCTTATTGTTGTCATTTTGATAATAGACATTTTATCTTACTAGGACGGATATTAAATAATATCTCATATGGTATCCTTTCTTATCAAATTCCCCAATATTTGTTCCAAGAGATTAAAGGGAACCAATTGCCTATCCAAGACAAAAGCTCATTGCCATACCTTTCTTTCAATTTGCAATAAAGATGGACGGAAAAGATGTACTTTTCTTGAACTTGTGGATGATATCAGCAAAATCAAACTTTAAAGTATCAAATTTCCTGTACACAAAAGCAAATTATACTCATTTTTATTTAAAAAATCAAAAAAATCTTCTATTTAAATTTTTTTTTTTTTAATTATTAATGATTCCAATTGGTTCAAAAGATCATTTTTCTACTCATTGAAAAGAAACACTCAATCGATTTCAATTTTTAATTTCTTCCTACTTTCATGATATAACTTAATGTTCTAACAGGAAGATATTTAGTTCAAGCAAAGTATTTGATGAAGAATGAAATATGATTTTCAAACAAATTTAATGATAAAGTATAAGATTATTAAAATTTAAAAACGTTCTTTGCAATTAAAATAATTAGGAATATTGGGTTGGAAATAATGTTTTTCTTAAAATAATTTCCATAATATTTACATAAAAATGAACTTTATAGTTTTCCATTTTTTTTTCCATCAAATGGTTACATTTATCTTTTGAGGGGTTAAAAAAGTTAGAATTTCTCTCCATCCAGTGATTACACTCAGCTTTCGAAGGGTAAAAAAAAAAATATTAAGTAGATTTTTCTCCAGGCCAATAACTCATCTTCGAAAGAGTTTCTAATCGAACGATTTGTCCGGAACATCCACATACCTCTCTACGCTACAGACTAATAATAATTCAATTTCTGAAAGCTTTAATCATAGCCTTTTAAAATGTCTTTAACAACTTTTTTAAATTTAAGATTTTAATATATAATTGTAAAGAGTGAAAATGTTCTAAGAATGCAATGCAGGTGGATTTGTAACTGGCTGTATACATAAAGAATCCAAGTCCATTTGCACAAATAAAACAATAAAAAATGGACTTGCTTGTCAAAAACACAGTAGTGATAGTTCTTTTGTATCCATTCATGGATATTAAAGAAGAGTTCTCCGCATATTGCGTAAAATTGATTAATCGGTCATTAGAGTATTTTAAGTAAGTATGAAGTTAAGTTAAAAAGGGTGCACTCTGGAGGAATGTAAAGTAGTACTAATGTAAGACGTGTTCTACACGAAACCTTCTACATAATTTTTTGCAGAGCAGTTTCTCTTAATGTATACTTAATAACAGCCTGTTGTTGTTAATTTACGTCGCACTAGAGCTGCACAATGGGCTATTGGCGACGGTCTGGGAAACATCCCGGAGGAGCCAGTATTTGACTTGTAAATCAGCATTACACTTACCTTCTGCCGTTAAACATCGCACTACTGCATATTGTTCTGTTCTGGACACAACCACCTTTAGCGTGACTTTACATTCACTTTTAATGCTCTCATGCAAACTGGTTATTAAAATGTATTCTATTTGTAGTGCACTCCTCTTTCTTTTATTAATAACTCTGAAGGGTAATGCTATTATCACTACTGTATTTCGAAATGTTTTTTCATCCATTGTTTACTTGGACAAAAAAATAAATATATATGATAACATTTATTTTAAAATTTTCATAAATAAGAAAAAAATAGTATTAATGAGTATAACAAATAACAGCAATATAATTGCAACTACAATAATTTACAATAACTCATGAACATAAGTGTTTAAAAAATGAAATGTAATTATTTGAACAATAATAAAGCTTTAGATTAGCACCAATAGTCTACCGTAATAGCCTTAAAATGCATTCCTCTAAATTTAAACACTTGACACTAATAAGAAATGCTTCAATTTATACCTGTCTCAATGCATACTGGTACTTCTTAAACATTTTTGCACATTTCATGTAAAAACATATTATGTAAATCAGTATTATTAGACATTGTGTTCCAATCACAGCTAACATTTGGTTTCTTGTTTTTAAGAACTAAGTTAATATGTACCATCAATCCAAATTTGGATTTTTGCTTAAAAACTAAAATGGATTGAAATGTGCACCTTAAAATTTATATTTCATTGCATTCTGGGCACAATTTATTCTACATTTTTAGAGTGATAATGTACTACAATTACAATCATATTGACACTATATATATATTATGGAAAGAATCATCTAGTTTTTGAAATTTTGAGGCACATATTTAGTACTTAGTGTGTCTTTGAGATATCGTTTAGTGCACAAAAATGTATTTTAAAGGGAGCTTCACTCTTTAGAAGGACTAAATTACTTGAAAAATTCAGGGTGATCAATTTCTTAAACTAAGGCTCAAAGCTCAAAAATGCATTTTAAATTGAGCTTAATGCTTTAGGAGAAAATTTCTTAAAAAGTCCTAGATGGTCACCTTTCTTTAATAAACTATGTTGACCATTTAGGGGGAAATATTTAAATGATTGCGGAAATTGCGTTCACAAACATTGAGATTAACATCAATCAAAAAGATGTGAAATTATCTGGAAAAGTTTTATGTAAAACATTTATCTACATTGCAACAAAATAGTTAATAAATACATGTAACTATTGATTTCTAAAAATGTGCATTTTATTTCTGATTTTAAATTTAAAACACGAATGAGTGGTACACTGGTCTCCAAAAATTAAGCATAATTCATAAAATATGGAGAAACGTGAGTACATATTGATAAAGTGGTCCAAAATCACTTGCATAGAATCACTGTTTAAAGATGGAATAGTGTGTTCATGTAAAACATTTCAGACGAAGTGTGCTTTTATTGTATCGAGAAGTAAGTTAAACGATCAAAAAGGCCGAAGGATGCCATAAACAAGCAAAATTAACATGTTTTTGAAAGGAAGATCTATTGAAATGTGGACGAAGCGAAGTGTTTCAAATTCTTAATGTGTGTTCTCAAGACTGTGGCACAGGTTTCGAAATACATGAGATGTCATCCTACGACCAATTCAAGGTTGACCAAGAGTAACAACTGTACTTTAAGACCCACATCTGGCCTGATAAAGTGATGCTGGTTTTAGATTCAAATTCATTGATAACTTGCTTTATCACCGTTTGATCTAGACCGACAATTTTCCTGAAAGTGTAAATATTCAACACACAAATTCACCTACAATCCCAGAATTGAAACGAGATCTCAATTTTGTTTGGAACTCTTTGAGAATACCACATTTTATTTAAAGTCTGTCTTTGGAAAGAACCCCCCCCCCCCCATTCGTCTTGAGCAGTGGCAGTGACCATGGTTACGAAGATTTACTATTTCAAGTACGGGTTTTGAGTCAATATTTAACACAGATTTTGGCTCAGTCAGCGAGAGAAAGAGAAGCTTCCCTTTTTGAAATGCGCTATTTTATGTTTCCATAGCAGCAGACGGTCTTAGATTTTGCGGCAAGAAAGTTCTTTCTGTACTTGGAAAATCGTTGTGCAGCATACATGCCCACACACCTTATTAAACTAACCTTTACATTTGAGATAAACGGGGTGATTTTGAACCCAAGTCAAAATTCCGGAAAATTTTTTGAGTTTAAAAAAAAGACAGTTTAAATTGAAAAAAATTTAAACAAGGTTTTTTTTCCTTTTTCTCAATATTTCTTAGTTTACTTAAAATATATTTAAAATTTTACACATACCTATACCATTTACACATACCTATGATGACCTGGAGAAGTAATTAAAATTTACAAATATGTCTTTCTTTCTTGAGTTTATGATTATAACAACTATTTACTGATAAAAAATGAATATTAATCATGAATATAAGCTTATAAAGTATCTCTCTGGCTCTCCCTTACAAACAAAAAAATAAACTGTGTTTTTAAGTTCCACCTTTGAAAATTTGATTTCCGGAAACTTCTGTGATCAACGATGTTTTGAAACATCTGGATCTTCGATCTCCGGAAACTTCCGGATCACTGTTAGCGAAAATTCCGGAAATCCAGATTTTTTCCGGAGCACAATCAGCCCTGGATAAACTATTAGTTTGCACTATTTTCTTTCACTTTTTCTTTTGACATTAAAAGCAGTAGGAATCCTTTCTTATGGTATACACATATTACATTTGCACACTTTATTTCACACTATTCTGATACATATTCCTTATATTCCCGTAGACATTAATTATGCTTAACTTTTAGACACTAGCATAGATAACTGTACAAAAAGAAAAAAATTGTTTAACATATTTTTTTACTATTTAGTTATTTAGATAATATAAGATAATTAGAAAAGTTACTTACAATGTAAGTAACTTTTCTGATTATTTAAATACTTAGCACTTAAGGTACATTTTCATAATTTCAGTTTGATACTGTGGACTTAAAATACTCCCGCATCATGTTAATAATACAGAAGTTTGTTAAGAGAATAAATTCCTTCAATGTATTATGTTGTTTATTAGTACATATAATTACTATCATTATTTTGAAGCAATGAAAACAAAGAATAAATACAGAAATTTGATATAATTTTGATGAAAAATAAAATGACTAGCAAAATAAAAAGATATCACTTGAAAATAATAAGTTATTGAACATATTTAATTTTGATTTTAAAGCAAATCAAATTTTAAATAGGATAGCTTGTTCTTCTGTAAATAAATTCTAAAAGTTTGGAATTCACACAACTACAAAAAAATATGTTCAGTTTTTTATTTGAACTTTCTAAAATTTAAATATTTATTTATTATTATCATTATAAATAATCCTTAATGATAGAAGTATCATTTATGAAGGGTTAGGGTTGCAAGCTTGTCGCACATAACAGATTGCCACGATTTTTTCAATACTACGATTTTTGAGAAATATTTTTAAAAGTTGAGATTTCTTTTTTTTTAAATTTATTACTTACATTATAACATCAAATCAATATCAAAATGAGAGTCATGTTGGCTTAAGGGATTGAGCATTCGCCTCACTATGAGGTGAGCCAGATTCGAAACCCAGCGGTTTCTGGTGGTACAAATTCTGCTCCAGCCTTACATTGCCACCGTGCTGGCTGCACCAATATCTCAGTGCTAGACAGATCATAGGTTATAACCTCCTTGCCGTTGGGCCAACCGTGGGAGGTTTTATTCTCCGTGTTACGTAAATACGGGTTAGTTCCATTAAAAAGTCCTCCACGAAGCCTTGTTTCTCCCTTTTGCTTGATCTACCCTTGTCTTCTGAGTTGGGTTCAAAAATCAAGGCTAAGGAGTTGAACATTGATAGTCATAAACTCAGAATTGCCTCGGCTGTTCAACGTCGGTTATAAATTAAAATAAATTGTCATTTTTGAGGGTATTTCAATATTTCACATCTCATTAAATATATATGTATATATATTGCTTTGATATATTTATATATTGCTTTGGCCATATTAATACGATATCGGAAAGCACTAATCTGTGCTAATATTGCTATTATCATTCTGTGGATTGCAAGAAAAGTTATATCTTTTCGTAATTAATTTTTACTCTTCCTAATTTAAAAAAATTTTTTTTTGCATTTTTAGTTTTAATTTTTTTTCTTTTATTAATTTTTTTATTGCTTTCTCCTTTATTCTCTTTTTTGTTTTCTTTGTGTAGCTATCTTTTTTCAGAATTGTTATATGTCTATGTGGGGGAAGGGAAGCTGTTAGAGCGAATCTTCCGAGAATTTCGGTCACAAACTTTCAACCCTACTTATTACATAATAAATAAATAAAAATTTCTACGAAATTACTCACATAATTTACTTTGAAATCTAAAGATTCATAAAAATCATCTGAGATCAAAATTTAGTTCCGTTTTAAAAATTTCCTTATCAAATTAAAAGAAAGTCAGATCCAAACTGAAATTGATACGAAGAACAAGCTAAGAATAACAGCATCTTCATCCCACTGAAGAAACTTGAAATAATGTAGCAGAGAAGCAGCAAAATATTCGCAGGTCAAAATGTATTTGATATGCTCAATTGGAATGAAATCGAAAAATTGGACTTAAGACACTTGAATTGTTCGTACATTTCTACGAAAATCCCTTTGGCGTTGTGACTCAAAATTATCTCTCAAATGTAATACATCAGGACAAGATTCATGGGATAGAATATCTTTCTTTTCGAAATCTTTCCTGGAGTATTTCTGTGATTGTTCTGCTAGCATGCAGAAGGAAGACTCATAAGAGATAATACCAGGACATGATTGTACCCTATACAGTCCTACTTTATCACTGTAAGCACCTCTGTTTAAGGATTGTTCGTTCATCCTCGATTCATAAGAATTTTTGTTGTACCAAAACGTCCTAAACTTAAATTGATGTGTAGAAATTGGTTCTTTAAATGGTTGTCTTTTATCTTTGGTCGGAGAACATTGAGGCACGTTAGAACTAGTGGTTCCTTTGTTAGGCCAAATCCAAGGAGGTGATATTGGGACGCCAGAGTCATGGAAAATTTCTATATCATCAGTTTGACTACTGGTCTGACAAGGACTTGACGGACCTGTAAATGGATAATTTAAAATAATTATAGTTTAATTATACAGTTTGACAACATTTAAATTGTACAAATTTTAAAATCAAGTATTTTGTCTTAAGATATCAAACTTTTACGCTTTCTTTGTCACACGAAAAGTTCGAATTCCAGGGACGACAGATTGATACGAATTCTGCACCTGGCTTGCACAAACCACAGAGCTAACGTGAAATACCCTCCCTCAGTGGTAGATGGATCATGGCTTAGAATTCTTTTGCCATCGGGCTAACCGTGTGAGGTTTTCCGATCTCGATTTTCCTCTCTATGTAATGCATATGTGGGTTAGTTTCATCAAAAAATCTTCCACAAAGACTAGTTTATTCCAATGTTGATCCAAAAGTTCCCTTCTCTTCTGGGTAGGGGCCACGGAGTTGAGCATTGATAACTCAAAGCTGGGTCGGCTGGTCAACGTCGGTTGCAAAATACAATAAAATAAGTTACAGGTTGTAATGTTTTCCTTTTTATTTGAAAGTTTAATTGTGATATCTTTATAAAGTATTAAAATTGCATTGTGTAATTTCTTAGCTTATCTTATATCTTAAAATTAATTAAAAATTGTACAAAAAAGTTATAGAAATGACCAGCATCCATAAAAACTAAAATGCTCATAGCAAAATTTCTGAAAGAACATTTGAAAACACACCTCTGTATCTTTTTTAAAATATAATTTCTGTGAGAGAATCCCTGCGAGGAATCTCTGTTCTAATTATATTAATTTGGAAAGATAAAGCAATTAGTTTTCAAATATTCGTATAGAAATTTTCTATCAGTTTTTAATTTCTTGAGGACACAGGTCAGCTTAAGAAATGCTGTGCATGTTTGTCCAGTTAATGATTCCAGTGACATGCAATGAATAAGTAATAAACATTTTAGTGATGTTAGTTTAGTGAAATAAAATGCTGCTTTACCTGTTTTGACTGTATCTTTTTCAGTCTCTAAATCTTCCAACAAATGACTTTCTGACGGACTTAAAGGACTTTCTAAATTCTGATAATATTCAGATGCAGTTTCAGGTTGAAATGACAAAGAAAAAAAAGTTCTACTATTAGCACCATATTTTAAGGATGTATTTAGTTTTCCACTCCGCATGAGAACATCATCTTCAAGTTCATCAAAGTCAATATCATGACCTACCGGTTTTTTACTCGTTTCGCACACATTATCAGTATAGTCTGAACTTTCACTCCCAAAACCTGACGTTCCTACAGAATCTGAACGGTTACATTGCTCTGAGTTGAATGAAAATGGCGAGAGCTTAGATTGTGATTCTGGGTGTTCTTTTTTTGGATTTTGTAACCTCTCTGGTGAGACACGCAAAATTCGTCTGTGCCCCGATTCTCTCAAAAGATTCTCTTTTTTCGTTTCATCTTTACCAAAGAAAAAAACTTTACTTTCAAAAGTGTCACTTAACCTAGATTTCACTTTTTGTTGATCGTTGTAGGCGAATGTTGATTGGTGGGTTAAAGTGTGGATGGAAAATCTCTCAGAACATGCAGTCTTACCAACATTAGAAAACGAATGCTTCTCTTCCCTAGCACAAAACATAGATTGCCTTCGCTGTTTGTTCATGGCTAAATTTCTTTCTGATTGTCCAGTCGAGATTTCAGATATAAGGGCATCACATTTAATTTCTTTAACTGGAGACAATACTTTTGTTATTGCATTACAATCTTTTGTCTTTCTTTCGTCACGATCACGAAGCCAATCCCCATAACAACTTTTGCTTCTGAATTGCTTAAAGTCTGTAGGTTCCCTTTCATGGACTGACGGAGAGTTCTGGATATCGAAACTAAGTTTGGCAAGTGCTGTAGTTGGAGACTGATCTCCACTGCGAGGCAAGGTAAAAACGTTTGTTTCATTTCTTTTCAGATCAATGTCCAAAGAAAGTTTAGAAGTTCGCATGTCTGTTCTGCAAACACGTTTTTTGCTGCATACAGGTGGAGCTGTTGGCTTCCCATCAAATGTGCTTTCTTTACGGAGTTGTTTTTCATATTCTAATAGCTGCCCAAGGAAGTTAAAGTTTGGTGAAATTGTTGGACGTTTAGATTTTACATACCTAAAAAGAAAAGAAAAACATATAAATTTCTTGTATTTTAATAAAGATACTATGGCTTATTGCAATTGTAACACAATTTTTACTTGTAGGAAATTTAACTAGTAGATATACAAATGTTACAATCAAGATAAGGTGGTAGAAACGGATTACTTAATTCTTCCTAGAATATAATCAGTTTTTTCACTCTTCCTGCTAAAGTAACAGACTATTTATTTTAAAAATCTTTTCTGAAATTTTAGGTTATAATTAAAAGTTTCGCTAACACTGAGATTCTGCTTTTGTTTACTACCAATGGAAAATATATTAACAACATGGAGTTTCTCAAATGTTTTATTTTTAACGAAAATATTTGCCGCAGACTTAGGGCTATACATTTTCACATCTAAAGACCTTTTCTGCATTTTCGTATGAGTCAGGTCTGCTTACATTTCATTACAATCAGAGTGAGATTAGAGAGTGCTCTTTTTCCCCAGGGTTAATTCTAGTATTACTTAATTTTATTTAACTTTTTGTGGTTTTTAGTTTCACAAAAATGCTTATCGCATTATATTTTCTTTAAGCAAAACGCTCAAAATGAATTAAAAATAAATAAATAGGTACATAATACTCGTTTTATTTTTTATGCAAATTTAAATCTGTGATAACATTAGGTAGAAAAAAAAACGCTTAAAAAATAAAATAAACGTCTATGCTTTTCGATTTATTCTCCTGTTTTGGTTGCAAATTTAAATAACATTACATAAAATCTTTGAAATACCTCTCCTGAAAGATCTCTTTGCAATTGAACTAGTATTATGAGAAATACAGATACTTCCCTTCAAATTAGAAAGAAAGAATCAAATCGAAAGAGACAAAAAAATCTCCCTTTAGAAGTTTAGAAAGTGCGGGGAAAATTCTTTTCTACGTCACAAAATGTAGAAGCATAGTTCAATCCTCAAAAAGTGTATCATACATTGTATTGCTATCCAATGTTTTAAAATTGGCAGATTATTCTGATAATCATGCATACATACTACTCACATTTCAACAACATGAGTACATAGTTATGTTTATTGCTACGTACAAATAAAACAGTTAAAATTTTTAAACAAAATCAGAATAATGTTGATAGGACGTTCAATTTTTTTCTCCCATATTACACTGAATAAATTGTTGAAAGCTATTAAGATATGCATAAACTTAAACAACCTTCATCTTCAATGTTGTTTTTCCTGCGAGTCATCAGTAATTTGAACCATCAGTTCAAAAAATAATTAAAAATTAGTCTGATAGGAATGTTATATATTTTGGCCAAAAATATGCAGGGTGTCTGAAAAGTATGGAAACAGTCAAATACCTCAAGAAATGTGTATTAGACCCAAAGTCTAAAAGTACATAAGCGTGAATATGAAAAAATTTAAAAAGATACATTAAATTATCACAAACTCGATATCTTGCCACTATTTCTGGGGTGAAGCGTGGCCCCTTAATTTCAGAAGGGAGGGGGGGGGAGTCCGGTTTGGTGTCATGAAAAATATTTTCATGAATAAATACTTAAGCAGAAACAACAACATCAAAATCTTATGAGTCGTTACTAAGGAAAGCGAATCAAAACTTATTTCATTATTAGATTAAACTAAGGAGTTAAATGATAATGTTTAGAAATACTTCCAAGTTTCGTAAAGGAATTAAACCAGTTGTATTGCTTAGCGATACAACAGATTTCAAAACAGTTTTTTTTCTTTGTTTAAATGTTAATTTGCCTATCCTAATGCGCATACTTCTTCGAATTTAATTCTGACAAGGATAAATAAAATATATGCTAAGAACATGATTAGGCATGACTTGTATAAAAGAACAGTATTCAACGAAATCTCTGAACAATTAAGTGATAAGAAAATTTTACTAGCATTAACGTTAATTTACTACCACTAATAAAAGAAAATTAATGCTCATTGAAACACTGATGAAACTCCTTTTGCTATTTCACAGTCGCAATGATTTGTTGTTTTAATGGCTTTGAATATTTATTAACACTTCTCAAGACACCATATTACAGAAAAAGAAACAATTTAACGTTTTGAAAAGGACGAGCTTTCCTTCATCAGGTAGTTAAAAATGACAATGCGAGAGCAATGAACGGTAAAGAATGAGTGGACGAAAATTTCAATCAACACAGAGATGAAGAACGGGTGAGATGGGAATCAAAAACAAAAATAGGGGAGGAAGGAGAGAGAGGGAAGGGAGTACAAGTTGGATATTAAATCAATTAAACAAGAATTTTTTATACAATATTTAAGAATTAATTATAAAGAGAATCAGCTTTCAAATTTACAATGTTGTTTTTGTTAACAAAAATCCCTTTTTTTTTAAAGTATCAAGTTCGGAATTACAATTAAATGTAAAAACAATTTTTGCATCTTGAAATTTAAAAGTGTGATGTAAATTTTAAATAATCTTTTTCTACGGCCTTTAATAATATCAATTTTTTAAGGATATATATGTATTGAAACACAATATGCAAATACTAACAGTTGAAGTCAAAAATGCTATAAATATGATCATTTCTTTATTTTTTTATAAAAACACTTTGGAAACATCCGATTATAGAACTGCAAAATATTATGCAGTTTTGTTTTTTTTTTGTTTTTGAGTTCATTATAAATGTATTAATAAGTCTATCAATACAACAACACAAAATGAAAATTATTTAGCCTAAATATTATATTGCATAATACAAATCAATAAGCAATATACTAAACATAAAAATAAGAAGTATTTATCTACTATACCTATAACCATCATCAGAGGATAAATGTAGATAACGCATCACATATGCAATAGCTACAGTGGGAGATCTTGATATACCAGCCAAACAGTGAACTAAAACACACCCACTTCCTTCGCGAACCTTATCTGAAATAAAAACTAAATTTCTAAACTTCAGGTGCACAAAAGGTTGACAAAAATGCTAGTGGCATTCAGAAAAGTAATTGGAGTGAAGGGCATAACTGATGAACACATGAAAGTATTTAAATTGAATGTAAAGTTTAGCTAAAAAAAGATGCGTCTGAAACAGAACAGCACAAAATAAGGAATTTTAATGTCAGAAGACGATTGTACCATTTTATTACGTATGTAAGGTGATTCGGTAAAGGTCGGCACAGACATCGTAAGTCGTAACATTTTAATTACCTCTAATCTTATCATTTTACTAACAGTAGCAATGGATTAATGAGAGATTATGACTGTTGCTTGTCCTGGGTCTTGGAAAGCCAGTTATGATGTATGCCCTTAAAAAAACTTGTAAAATTTTTTTAAAGCTGTTTGTACTTGACAGTGTTTACAATAATCAGAAAACGTCCGGCAATACACATCGGCACAGGAGTCACCTTCAACCACTAAATATCATACAAGTTCGTTGTTCGGTCCTCGACGCATCTACCTTGGCATAACTTTACATTCATTTTAGATGCTCTCTCAATAATAAGTTGATGAGTTATACGCAATCTCAATGCACTCCACTTACTTGAATTTATAACCTAGAAAGGAAGAGCTGCTATCGTCATTGTATTTCTAATATTATCCAATTTACAGTTAGACAACATTTATCGTTTGTTACTAAGACATAGGATTTTTTTTTTTAAAAATGAAAAATTGCATGAAAATTTCTAGCACTATTAAATTTTTTATTAGAATTAACATTAATGGATATTATTTACTTGGAGTTATTTTAATATAGGAGACATGCCTTTTTTTAATTGTAATTTTATGCTAGTACTATTTGGTTTTATTAAAATATAGTGGACATGCTATTCCTCTTATTGGTATACTTAATTAAAATCTACGAGTACAATTTAAATGGAGTTACTGAAATAGAGTGGATATGCTAATTCTCCTTATTGTAATTTTAATTGCGAGTGACTAAGTGAATCGTTAATATTACATTGCAATGACACGGTGATATTCCTGTCAAGTAAGAAGTGAAATCTAATTTACTTCTAGACCCGGTTCCATCGCGACAGCTCGTGCTGCAGATTTTTTTTAAAATCTGCACATTATTTATCAACTTTCCTTTTATTGTTAAAAAAAATAATAATGGCAGAAAATGGCTATTTTTAAAAACATCTCTAAACTTGTTTCTTATAAAAATTGAAAAGCTGAATTGAGAGACACAGAAAAAAAAACGTAATTTTTTTTTTTTTTAGAATTTTGTTTAAATTTTAACATAAATTTAAACTTTTCATGTGTAATTTCTAATAACCTGCAGATTTAGCTTTGAAGCTGGATTTTACACAATTAATCTCTTTCGCAGACAAATTCGGAATTACGAAGATATAGTGCTGTAGATTCACATTTAAAGCCATGAAAATATAAAATCTCTTACCCAAGAAATGAAAAGCTTGTGGAAAAAAAGGCAGTAATTTTTCATTATAAGTGTCATTGACAGGAATACGCATGAAATGACCTTCAGGTAGGAATTCTGGTCGAGGACAAGATGTACTGACATTTAATTCATAAGTAATGTTATGATCCTGAAAATAAAAAAAGAACATTCGAATAAGTCACATCGCAAACTTTTACACTTAACTAGGCTTAAAATGACCGTTTAAAACATCAAGTTCATTCCCAGGCGGTCAAGCCACTTTATACCTGGGTGTAAACAGGCAATAGTTCAAGTAGAATTTAAAATCTTTAAACGACAAAGAAACAGTAATTAAATAATCATTAAACTTAAACAAAAATTCGAAAAAATATATGAAGCTGTAGTAAAGCAAACTCTCTTTACACACTCACTCACGAGACGGGGATCCGAAAGATGTTCCAACTATAATTGTTTTCTGTTTCCTTAATAAAAGCTTTAAATGTAACTCCCCTAAATTACTTTGAAGCTAATCCTCGACACATACCAATAAAGTCTTGGAATTTAATTTTTTCCTCTCACTTTTCGTAATAAACAACGGTAATAAACACTTACTTTATAAACCGAGTATTATAATTATCAACAATATGGCCAATATCAATTACATCGGACAATCGAGGTCCTATTGTGTATAAAATCTCAACATTTTCTACAGACTACAAAGTATATGTTGCTCATTCTAATGTATGGGGTAAAATGAAATATAACAAATGGCGACTAAAAAAATTGTGTGCAACTCGCCATTAGCTGGTAGCAAAATTTCTTATTTTTGCAATATGTAGAATATTTTGCTTACCCTGAGAAGGTCTCTATTCAAAGCATCTAACTGTGAGCCTAAATAAAGGAATGGCAGAATTCTTGTAGGTCCAGAGATTGGTAAACATGGTTGTGAAAGTGATGTAAGTGGTGCCCGAGTCTTATCTTCACAGCATTCTGGGTAGTATTTTTGAAAATCATTGAACCCACCTGTAAAATAGGAATTATTAGGAAATATAAAAAATTATTAGTTAGTGAATAACGGATGTTAATGGCTAATTTTGAAAACTTCTATATCCAAGCATATTATATGGATATTATACCATTTTTGCTATTAGTTAATTAAAATTGAAACATCAAATCTTTCTAGCAAGGTCGATCAAATCTTTAGGATGACCTATCAAGCCCTTATCTAGTTATACAAATAGCTTAAAAGGATTAATAGAAAGTAATTTACAGTATAATATATTTAAAATAGCAGAAGGTCTTTCTGATAGGTTTAAAAGTAAAAAACACTTTTGCGTAGCATATAACATTTCAAGTTATAAATACAATAAAAATTATTTAAAAAAAAACCAGAGACTTTTAAAATTTAGTGGCATATAACTTCCAGCTGCTGCACATTTTAGAGGAAAATATTTTCCTGTAGTAGAAATAGTTAGGGTGTAAGCAAGATTAAGACTAATAAAAGTAACGCTGGGCAGCAACAGCACGTAGAGGGTCCATGAGGTCATGGCGGTCAAGACTCCACAGTTTTGTGGCATTGCGGTAAATACTGCATTTGCTTCCCAGACAAGCTAGCACCCATCAATTTGAAGCTGGGTGGGCGGGCTTCAAGCCACCGCTGAGGATCGAGCCCCAGTTTCACAAAGACAAGTCAGTGTCTTTAAACAAATGACTCAACTCGGATGGTCACAGACAAGCTGAAGTGAATTGTGACTGTCCTAGTGTGCGTCAAAAAGAGCTTCTTAAGCTAATCAGGAACAGTTTGAGGAAGATCATTGGTCTTCTCACTGGACACTGCACTCTCAGGAGATACCTATACATAATGGGCGTTGTATCTGATCCTCTTTGTCGAGGTTGTCATCTTCAGNACTGTCCTAGTGTGCGTCAAAAAGAGCTTCTTAAGCTAATCAGGAACAGTTTGAGGAAGATCATTGGTCTTCTCACTGGACACTGCACTCTCAGGAGATACCTATACATAATGGGAGTTGTATCTGATCCTCTTTGTCGAGGTTGTTGTAATTGTGATGTGCATTTGGGTCTGAGAACTACAAGACATTCCTGTCAGGTGTTTGCTGAACTTTATTTCAGCTATAAAGCTTTCTTGCTAATCATGACTTAGGGTTTTGGTACAATAGACCTCTGGTCGATGTGCCCTGCTCTTTGGAGCTGCCCAACCTCTAAGTCTTAAAACACAAAGACATTGTGATTCAATATTTAGGCTAGGGTACATATTTATCTAGGTACGATGTATCGGGATAAATAACTATATTCTTTAAAGAGTTGTGAATATAAATCAGTATTGACCTAATATCCACTTTCATTGGGAACTATTTTATGTAACTATAAAATTTGTAATAATGAAATAAATTACCTGAAAGCAAATTGACGCTTTGAAAGACAACTTGCAATTTCTTCAGCAGAATGAGAATGAAACTATCTGAAGGTATACTTTCAATATCCTTGGAAGATTGATCATACACAACAACATCTAACTTTTCTTCAATATCACAATGGCTGCATGTATGAATCAATAATTCTTTGACAGATAACTAGAAAAAATTTACATGCGTTGAGAGAATTATAGAGCTATTATTTATCTAGGAATAGGAGCTAATATTTATCTAGCGTCAGGAATTAGAACTACAGTTTTCAAAAGTTTATAACAAGAATCAGGTTTAAAAAAAACAATTTTATAGCAAATTTATGTGATAGGGCATAAATTTTATAATAAAAATAAACGAGTTCGACTGTATTCAACTACATAGAAACTGACTTAGTATTGAAAGAACGTCTATTAATACCTGATTTTACAGTCATTGCCATGCTGTTTCAAAACATTTTGGTTATACGCGTTTCTTACAATGACGCAAAATTAATGAATAAAAAAATATGACACTTACTACAGTTTTAATGAATTGTTTTAAGAATATTCTGATATGAATGTACGTATCAAAACTTATCTAAAAAATAGCAAAAGAAGAATTTCAGTAATTAATCTCTCAAAATCTCATACATCCTTGAACTATTCATTGATGCAATTCTATTACTGGTTCTTTTACTTGATTAATATGACCTGTCTATTAGTTGACATTTCATACTAATTTGTCAAAGTACACTCTATAACAAAAAAATTGACGCACCAAGAAGCAATCATTCGATTGCTTTGAAATTTCGTATGCATGAATGTTTTGAACAGATATGGCTGGAATGATGCCGACTAATGACGTATAGTCTTTAGCGACGAATTCCGCTTCCAACTGTGTCCTGACGATCATCGAAGACGTGTTTGGAGACGCACAGGGCAGAGGGGGGATCCTGCTTTCACTATTGCCCGCCACACCGGCCCTCAACAAGGCATTACGGTCTGGGGTGCCATTTCCTTTGACAGCCGGACCCCTTTGGTCGTCATTAGAGGTACACTTACTGCACAGCGGTACGTCGACGACATCCTAAGACCTGTTTTGCTACCGTTCCTTTTGCAGCGCCCTGGGCTGGTTTTTCAGCAGGACAATGCCAGACCACATACGGCACGTGTTGCTATGAACTGTCTGCAAGCTTGTCAAACTCTTCCTTGGCCTGCCAGATCACCAGATCTCTCTCCCATCGAGCATGTCTGGGATATGATGGGAAGGCGATTGCATCTGGCACGGAATGTTGATGACCTCGTTCGACAATTGGATCGAATTTGGCAGGAAATACCGCAAGAGACCATCCGGGAGCTTTATCGGTCTATGCCACGCCGTGTGGCAGCTTGTATCCAGGCTAGAGGCGGGTCAACACCTTATTGAACTTGTTACTGTAACTCTGCAATAAATTATTCAATTGTTCTGAAATTTTAATCATTTACTATTCTGTACATTGTCTTCCTATCCACCAATTTTCGTTTCAATCAGACAACTCCTTCTTGGTGCGTCGATTTTTTTGTTATAGAGTGTATTTTATGGAATAAAAGCCAAATTCTACTATTAAAAGTAAATTTCTAATGCAGTAAGACACGGTTCCCAGCAGATCACAGAAGTCAAGCATCACTGGCTACGGTCAGTGTGCGGGTAGGTGACCACTTGGATCAGTCTGCGTAGGGACTGAAGGTGTGCAGTATTGGTCCTCGTTAAACTGTGCTACCGTAAATTGCTCGACTTCGAGGCGTAGGTCGTCGGGCTACCGAAGCGGGGGGTGCCATCCCCTCCGCAGAGGATCAAAATTGTGATGGCATGTCTTCGGATCATCCTCCGGGATGTTTCCCAGACCGTCGCCAATAGCCCATTGTGCAGCTCTAGTGTGACGTACATTAACAACAACAATCTAATGTAGTAGAGTATCTTTGAAACAATTTTTTTACTACGTTGGAATGTAGTTCAATTGTTAATGATAAATTAATATTTATTAGGCTTTGACATTAATTAAAATGAACAACCTTAAAATTATTTACTCTTAACTGTATCTATGAAATAAGTTCTACTTTTGATTTTACTTCTCTTTTATGCGTGACAGTAGATGAAATAATTAATTTTATGACTTGTGCACACTAACCGCATGTTATAGGGGTGTCGTGCTATTTACAAAAGTAACTTTTAAAAAAGAAAAAATTAGGTTAAATTTTATCAATTGGCTTAAGTATTATACAAAATTAAGATAAACCTTCAAATTTTAATAGAAAATAAAACTTTATGTATTCAAATGATGCTTAGCAATTATTTTTGTTTTTTTGACAGTAATAAAAATTGTGCATACAAAGCCCCTTATCACTAAAGAGTGAAATTTGTTATACTGGAGAATTTAACCCTAATATTTTCTTACTTTAAACAAACGCTATCTTTTAAATCTTTTCTTCCCTTAAACAAACGCTAATATTTTCTTAGAATGATAAAACAATTACCTTATCTTGCTGTAATCTTCTTTTAACGATTTTAGAGCAGCAAACATTTACTGCGGTTGAAATATGACAAGCATTGTGCTCTATAAAAGATCGGCTGTCAATGATCAGAACCTGTAAAATTAAATGAACTATAATAAAAGTAAATGAACTATTGTAAATAAATTAAAGTAATTATAAGGTTATGATGTATCAAAAATTTTATCTTTTTTTTCCTTGAATACGTCGATAAGTTCTATTCGTCCTGCAGACGAAAGGGCACAGTTTGCTGTAAGGGGTTACTTTAATTTATAACGTTTAACTTTCATGTTTATATTTTGGAAAGTTCTAATTAAAATATTAAATTTAAAAATAAGATAAAAAAATTCTGTTTTTGAATAGGAAATACTAAAAACTTCTCCCTAACTTTGTATTAAAATAAGTATTTTTAACTCTTAACGGACCATCGTATAAGCGGCATAGCACTTTTACTTGTTGGGTCATGTGACACGCATATGACGGTATTTTAATCACCCTTGTCATAGTTATAACTAATTTGACTATAATTATAAAATTATAATTAATATAAATATGCAATTAATACATAATATAAAGGATAGAATATAGGAAATAGAATATTATATAATTATTACAATTATACCTGATGGAAAGTAAACTTAAAATAATTTTGGGCAGATAAAGCAATTCATTTGCTGAGTCTTTTATTTGTGCTTTTCCTTCTACTAAAACTAGAGAAAATATAAAGAAAGAAAAAACAATTTTTAATTATAATTTCAATTAATTTTAAATATTTTTTAATTTTAATTATTTTTTAAAGTTTTAAAAAATTAAGGGGTTTTTCATAATTTTTTTTTATTTACTGTTAAAAATTGCTTCCCTGTTTCTTTGTATTTTTATCGCATATAAAGATTTCTTACATAGGCTTTGTTTGTCAGAAGAAGGTAAATACATTCGCCACTGTTTTCACGAGAAGTAAATAAAATAACACTAAATTCAAGCAGTTATACACTAAAATCTGGAGAAGCTATCTACAGAATTGTGTTTAATTTCATGTATGTATGGACAGTTTCCATTTGATACTAATTAACAAGGCCGTTTCATTAGGTCAATTCATTTTATAGACAATCACTTCATTGACGGATCATTTCATCGACTAGGTCATTTAATCATCGTTTCATTGACAGGGTCTACAATATCATCGACAAGTCATTTAATCGACAAGTCATTTCGTTGACATGGTCAAAATCGTCGGTGTGTAGTTTGTCTAAGGTAAGAACTCCTCCCGCCACACAGTCTGAGGCCGTCAGGTGCTATGGAAACAAAAGTGGAACATTTAAGGGGCTTCACTCTAGGACTAACACAATAGACCGAAGAAAGAGATTCTCTCGCCTATCCGAGCCAAAACAGTGACCCCTACTTGAAATAGTCATACCTCGTTACCATAGTCACCGCCACAGGAGTTCTTATTTTAGACAAACTATAGGATTATTTCGTTGACAGAGTCGTTTCGTCGACATGATTATTTTGTCGACAAAGTCCACTATATCACTTCGTCAAGTAATTTATTTGGCAGGGTCACTTCGTTGAAGGGTTGTTTCGTCAACAACACGATTAATTCGGCGACAGGATCTTTCATTGTAGTTTCATGAACACTTTCATGCCTAATTTTGAAAGTATTTTTAGGGCTTGTTAGGTTATGCGGTAAGTCATTTGCTTTTTGCTCTTTCCAACCCAGCTTGAAGCCAAATTTGTATACAGTGTTATATTAATATGCGTACAAATATACATATTTATATAATAGTATGCAAATGCAATACAATAAAAATATTATTGTACAAATTTACATACTAAGGAATTATATATTTGTATACTATTATTTGTATATCAATTTACATAATAATAAACACATAATATAAATTTATACTAATACATAACAAATTTGTGTTTACACATTTGTATGTACACATTGTATGGTACACATAATATAAATTTGTCTGACTTTGAATACTATGAGAACTTTCCCTATCGGTAGAGTTTTCGGAGACTTGACATAAAAGTGGAATCTAAAAATAACTCTTTTATAAAGAAACAAGTTTTTAGGTTAAACAAAATTCTTACAGACTCATTCCTGTTCTTAATAACTGATGCCACTTGATGAACATCAACACAACGAACAGCCATGACAAACTCTTTGCCGATTCTTCGCCTTTCTATTCCATATTCTTCTTTCACATTGTAGATAACCTGCAAATATTTTAGAAGATAACAAAAGTTATTTAGATTTAGTTCCTTAAAGTTTTGTCCAGAGAAAACATTTCTTTCTGTAATTATCGTAATAGTCTTTCATTTATCTCTTGGCGATCGAAATGGGCTGCAGGGGGCAGAACTCTCTACCTTTGGCAACACTTCGTATATTTTCACCATTTGCGTGTGGAGAGTCATAGGAGAAGGAAGTACGTTGGTTTTTGTCTTGATTTTCAAATAGATTAAAAACTTTTAAGTTATGAAACTATATGGAAATGAAAACTACATTGAAAGTAGTTTTGAAAGAAACAATCCTGGAAATGTTTAAAAAATATTTTTGATAAGTAAATACGAAAAATATTAAGAAAGGGGAAAATATAGCACATGCCTACACGAACGAACATAAATTGCACTATAGGGGGAAACTGTGAGATGAATAACAACCTTTGACCTCTTCCACGTTTACACAAAACTTCAGAGAAGTGGAGAGCAGGGGGTATTTAGAATATTTGAAGTAACCTTACTTACTGGCGAAGTTCAGTTTACTTACCGGCGTATGTTCGCCAAAATAAAACTTTTACTTTCATGAAATCACTCTCAATATTTTTAGTGAATAAATTATGAAAAATATTTTTGTGTAAGTCATACTGTATTAAATTTTTTAAAAAAACTAAGTTTTAAAAAATAAATATTAATTTAAAGCTATATTAAATAGAAAATATTTCAATTAATTTTATATTTTATTATTCCCAGAATATTATTATTACTTATTTAAATAATGAATATGATGAATCATGAATGTATTAATAGTTTACAGCAATTCTGACTGTATCCATTTTTAAAGAAGAAAATGTCTAATAAGTGCCTACCAAAATGTAACGAAAAAGTGTAAAAATAACAACTGTGAATTTTAGTTGAATTTAATTTAAAATACAACAGCGAAGCTTAAGTGTAAAATGAAAGGAAGAATAGATAAATTATGAACCGTAATAGCCCTATTTTTTTTAAATAAACAACGCTGAACTTAAAGATATGTTAAAAAGAAGGAAAAAATTATTACAAGTTCTCTCAGAAAAAAAAAGGATTAAGAGAAATAAGCAAAATTTTGAAAAATAAAAAGCACAAAAATAAAAAAATGCTTTTAATACTAAAATACAAAACTGTAATACGAAGTAATGATGAGATGTTTGCTTTATAATTTTGACAAATTCAACTGACAATTCACTTTGGAAACATGAGCTCAGATTAAAAATGTATTTGGATATTTATTAGAATGCAATTAGAAATTACTTCTAACTTTAATATACAAGAATTGATTTTGTGATTACAAAATATTATTAAATTCGCTTTTGAGAAAGCTAAACTTTAATTCTTTAGAACTACTTCAAGAATCCAATGAATGCACAAAATGCATATTTTATATCCAAATACAAATTATATGCTTTCAACCATTTAGTTTTGAAATGAATTGAAGCTTTATTGGAATGAAACAAACATTTTTGTTAACTTTTTAAGTAGTCACAAATTAGATTTTAATAAGAATTGCAATAAGATAGTTAAAAATATAAGTTACGAATAAAATGACGATTAAACATAAATACAAAATAAATATTTTAATTATAATTTAGAAAAAAGGTTAGAAAAAGGAATTTTTCGCAATTAATAATTTTTCTCTACTTATTTTTCACTGTGGCTCTGAAATTGAGACTTAACTGACAACTTTTAAATGTGATTGCTAAAACAGTTATGTTAAATGTCTAATTATATATATATATACAGTGGTGGCCAAAAGTGGGGACATTTTTTGAAAGTTTCATGTTTTCCAACTTTGTGTTCTTGTAGAATATATTAATTTTCACTTAAATACAAACGTTTATATATCAAATTGAAGGTAATTTAATGTAGAATTTAATAATAAATACAGTATTACAATATCTGTATTACAAAACAAAGTTATGCAACTTATAGTAAGATCTATCTTAGATTTGCATTTTTTTAAAGTGATACTTACACGATCAATACTTAGTAGGATAGTAGGAACTTAGTAGGATTAAGACAGCTTCACAGCGTCTTTTTATCGAGTGAACGAGTGTTTGGTTGGTTGGTTAGTTGAAGTTTAATGGCACAAGAGCCAGAAGTGGCTATACTGCGCCAGTCTCTAGGTAAAAGAATTGCACTTTTACTTAAATTAGTGAATACAGTCCTATTGTTTTGATGAACTTGATTAGATTGTGATGTATAGGGTCACCAAGTAGGGATGAAAGATTGGGATAAAATCTGCCGAAAAGTTTCTTCCTCAAATATTTGAATCGTCTGCAGTTAGTTAATATGTGTTTAATTGAAATATCAACTTGACATAGAGTACAGCTGGGTGCAGGTTCGGCTACCAGTAAATGCATATGCGTAAAACGAGTATGCCCGATACGTAGTCTATTATTTAAAGTCTGGGTTTTGCGATCAACAGTTAATGTCTTACAATTATCAAGATTAGGATAAATTTCATGTAATTTATTATTATTATTACCATTCCAATGATTTTTCCAGGCTTGATGAACTAAAGATTTACAAATGTGTTTGAGGTCCGAACATGTCAAGAGATTACTGCTTAGGTTTTGAGTAGTTTTAGCTATGATATCAGCACGGTCATTTCCAAGAATGCCGACGTGTGAGGGTATCCAACAAAAATATATGTTGAACCCTCGGACTTGCAATTGCATAAAGTGGTTTTGTATTTTTTTTGAATTATGGGGTTTTTTCCAATGTAAGGAACACTAGATATAAAGCTACGAGAGTCAGTATAAATTATCCATTCATTTTTAGTTTGGTCTGAAATAAAATTAAGAGCTAGCAAAATAGCATAACATTCAGCAGTGAAAATTGAAGTTTCGTGAAGAAATTTTTCAGACATATTAAAACTTTCGTAAGCAACACCGCAACCAACATGGTTATCATGTTTCGATCCATCTGTGTAAATAGGCGTAAAATCCATATATTGATGACGATGTTCGTAAAATCTTTGGGTAAAAACTGTTGGGTTTGTCTCGGATTTTTTCAAATTATTAAAAACGTTTAAAACACAAGCTGTAAAGTCAACCCATGGTGGGATAGCGTCTGTGTAAGTAAAAACCTCAAAATTTAAAATGTTAAGTTCACATAAAATGTTGGTGATTCTTATTCCAAATGAAGGAATGTAAGACGGGCGTGAAGAGAAGTGAGTAACAAGTTGTGGATGGCAAACACAAGAGTAAAGTGGATGAAGAGGATTCGCTTTTATTTTAAAATAATAGTCCAGAGATAACTTATATCGACGAAAATGCAGAGAAGGTTCAGAACATAACACATACAGACTCTCAACTGGTGAAGTCCTGAATGCACCTGATGAAATTCTTAGTCCTTGATGATGGATGGTATCCAGATATTTTAATACAGATTGGCGGGCTGATGAGTATACAGAAATACCATAGTCAAGTTTGGAACGGAT